ATACACGGTTGTATTTATTAGAAAACATCTGGCGTCCCGAAGAACTTTTTAAATTTCCAGCAAGCGGACAAAGAAATTTAAAGTTTCAATATTCGTGGCTACTTAGGTGGAACTGGTTGACTTATTCCAAATTACTTGATGGCGCATTTTGCAAATATTGTGTTTTGTTTAGTTTGAATTATGGTGGTGTAGGTAGTCAGCCTTTAGGTAAGTTATCAAAAATTCCATTTTCAAACTGGAAAAAGGCAACAGACAAGTTTAATGAGCACCAGCAATGTGAATATCATAAAAGAGCAATTTTACTTTCCCAAAATCGTAAATCGGTTATGGAGAAAAAAATAGAACCTATTAACATCGCCTTGAACTCATCAGTAAGTCAACAAATTCTAGAAAATCGTTTAAAGTTAGCGCCCATAATAGAAACTATAATTTTTTGCGGCCGACAAGGTCTTGCACTTAGGGGGCACAGGGATTTCGGAAATTTTCAGTTGGAGGATCCTGACGAAAATGATGGAAATTTTCGAGCTCTTTTAAGATACAAAGCCATGGGTGGAGACGAAACACTTAAACATCATCTAGAAAATTCTTCAAAAAATGCAAGATACTTAAGTCCCACCATTCAGAATGAAGTGATAAATGTGTGCAATAAATTAATTGTTCAAAAGATTGTTGCGAAAATTACTTCTGTTAAATTGTTTTCTGTCTTAGCCGATGAAACTAGTGATATAGCTGGTATGGAGCAATTTTCGTTGTGTGTTCGCTACTATGATAACGACATAAAGAAAATAAGGGAGGATTTCCTACAGTTTGTAGGTGTAACTGATCTAACAGGCAAAGGACTTGCAAATGTTTTAATGGACACTCTAGCAAATTTACACATAGACGGTAATTTTATGATAGGTCAAGGATATGATGGAGCCGCTGCAATGAGTGGTCGACTTCATGGGGCGCAACAATATGTTGCTGAGAAATTTGATTTGGCTATTTACGTGCATTGCGCATCTCACAGTCTAAACCTAGCACTTTCTGATGCCTGCGAACTACCAGCTGTGAGAAACTGTATGGGAATTCTTAATAGTACATACAACTTTTTTAACACACCAAAACGACAATCTTTGCTTGCAAATTTAATAGAGAAATTAACACCTAAAGCATCAGCATCTCGACTTAAACGATTGTGCGCAACCAGATGGATTGAGCGTCATGAGTCTGTCAACGTTTTTATACAGCTTCAAAAAGCAACTGTTGATGCACTGGAAATTATGTCATCCTGGCACGATACAACAACTTCTTCAACAGCGGTTCAACTTTTAGGAGCAATTAGGAGTCTTGAGTTTCAAGTTTCTCTTAGAGTTATCTCAAAAATCTTTGCAATAACACTTCCTGTCAGCAGAATACTCCAAACAGAAAACTTTGATCTATCTGCGGCTCTAAAATTTACAGAAGATTCAAGTAGCCTACTAGTGAATATGCGGAAGGATGCTGAATCAGAATTTACTACCGTATTTAATGAAGTCAAAGACATTTGTGAGGACTTCGACATAGATATACTTATTCCACGTCGAGCTGGAAAACAAATTCAACGCTGCAATGTTATGGCAAATACGCCTGAAGAGTATTACAGAATAGCTGTATTTATTCCTTTCCTTGATTCGGTTATGTCAAATAGGAGACAGATTGCTAAAACATAAATCTGTTTTGAGAGGTTTTATGTGTCTTTTACCCAATGACTCGGGTTTTACCAAAGAACAGGAAAAGAATGCCATAACACTTATGCAAAAATATGAACGTTTGATTAACAGCAGTGTCATCGATGAAAGCATTGGAGAACTGAAACTGTGGTGGCGCCACATTATTACAAGTGGAAATGTACCGCAAAACGCTCATCAAGCTTTTTTAATGTGTGACGTAAAAATATTTCCAACAGTACACAAACTACTGCAAATATTTGTAACATTGCCTGTAACAACTGCCGTTAGCGAACGCTCTTTTTCCACTCTCAGACGGCTAAAAACGTACTTGCGAAATACTACTTGCGAGGATAGACTAAATGGATTGGCATTATTAAATATTCACCGACAAATTGAAATTTTAGCGGATGAGGTTCTTGATGAATTAGCCAAGAGTCCAAGAAGACTTGAACTACGATTATAGGTAAGTAATGTTATAAGTACTTTTATCTGTTTGCTGTGTTCTAGTACTGTTATTGCGTCTATATATATATATATATATATATATATATATATATATATATATATATATATATATATATATATATATATATATATATATATATATATATATATATATATATAAAATGCTGGAAAAAAATTGGAACCCCCCCCATGAGACGATCCTGGCTACGCCACTGGTACTTTTAACTTGATCTCTAGTCAACCCTAAACCCCCAACTTTCCTCACGTAATTACCTACAAATGCGTTCATACACGATTTTTACTAGGCGCTTTCCAAACATACAATTCCATGAGTGATCAGTCCAATCGTTCCACCGCTGGTACTCGATAAATACTGGCTTGTGCTTATTGATACGCCATGCATCGTTCGAACTGTGAGGATCGATTTTCCCTGCGCCCCCCCCCCCCCCTCCTCACCGCCACACAGCTTACAGGTAAAGTTCTTTGAATGGATTTACATTTGTAAACTTCACAGGATTATAGGACGACCGTTGTTTGGCACTAATTATAGCCCAGTATGTTTTCAGTAATGATTGTGGTATTACAACAGGAGCTTAAACATACATCAATTATTAATATTATTAGGAGCATGAAGTTAAATGCACTAAACAAAAAACGTCTGTCAGTCTCAAGGGGCATCTTGCTAGGCTGAAAATAGTGACGTAAATAAAACAGAAAGAGAAACCCGTTTTATTTATCTCAGTCTGTATGCATTATTCAAACACGATGGCAAATGAGTCGATAACGTCGAACTGGGCTCTGAAACCATGCATAACAATGAAGGCGGTCGAGCGGGGGCTTTGTGCCTACACTAGGGCGGGGAGGGTGCTTGTCTTAAGCTAATTGGCTCTGGTGTGTTTGCAACACACATCAGCTACACACGTAGGACAACCGTACAGGGTTACAATAGTGGGTGGATTAAAACTGCTTGACGGAGTCACTACGGTGGTTTTGAAAACATTAACTGTAGTCATCGCATTGCCTAATGCCTAATACATATATAGTTATACATTTATTTTGAACAGCAATCATTTGAAGATTCACTCACTATGAGGACATTGATGTAATCTAGACCGTACATAGCCTACACATTCAGCTTAAGACAACAAGCGCTCACTCGGAAAGATCGAGCTCGTATATCTGTTGGTGCACGTGCCTTGAGCACCCGTTTTCCCAATGGATAATTTATAGAGGGCGTGTTGTATCAATCAGATATCACGAGGGTTGAAGTAGGATAGTAATGACCGATGGACAGGTTTGTAAGTGAATACAATTTTCCGTTTATTCACGTTCATCTGGTCATGTGTTTTAGGTGGAGGGGGGGGGGGGAGATACATAGTCACTGCAGCTTCCATTTGTATTCATAATTTTAAAACTATTTTAACATTTTCCCTTCATAGCATATGCCAGACAAACCCGCTAAAATGACGTCACAACGTTATAGTAGTTATTCCTATAATGTCCCAAAAAAGCCCCCACCATGTTATCGACAATTAACGTGTTTCTAACTCTTCCTTTCTAGAAATACGAAATGCGGTGACATTTCTTACCCCTCCCACCACATAGCAGATTGTCACCAAATCCCAACCCCATACGTGTTGTTGTTTACCTGACACCGGTACGACTTGTGGTTAGTGGGGTGTATGAGGCCGTAGCCTGCTGTTGAATATAGTGTGTGTATCACTTCGTGGGCTACGTTTCGCCTGACTGATCGGCACGCTAGAAATATTTTTTTTGTTAGAACAAGAAAATTCTACTACGGCCTTGACATGAGAAAGCGTGGCCTAGAGTCACGCATCAGTTGGAGTGGTCGTCGTAGGCGTGGCCATAGGGGCGGGGGTCACAACTGGTAGAAGTAATGCCAAGCTCTGGTACAGACACCCGGAGCTGTACTTTAAAATATTTCCTGTATCCAGTCGTATAATAGCAGAGTAAAGAGAGCATCTAAGTGATAATGCAATGGTCATTGTAAACGTATAGAACTGCATGGATTGTATAGGTGTAATACTGTAAGTTGTACGGGTACTACTCCAGTGGTCAGAAACATATACGGTTGTTAAAAAATACAAGGTTAATGATTTTAGAAAAGCGCTGTATGTTAAAGACCTTTAATTAGCCAATAACAATAAACCGTCAGGGAAGGGATTATCTTTTTATAAATGTTGTAGGGGGAGGTGAGGTTGCTAATTTTATTTTATTGGCAACAGCGGGTGGATTAGTAACTTGTGTTATCAGTTGTACAACATGGGAGGGGTGGGAGGGGAGAGGCTGCATCCAGGTGGATTAGTAACTTTTGTTATCAGAAGTACAACACAGGAGGGGTGGAGGAGGCTGCAGCCAAGTCTATTGCTACTTTATAATCTTGAAAGAATGTTATAACCAGTTGTGTTTCAGCTTGTGGTCTGTGATGTATGATTACATTGTGCTGCATGGTGTCTTACATGCATGTGTTTTGATTGATTTGTTTGCATGTAACATGCATGTGCTGTTAGCCTTGTTGGACCAGGGCTGGCTCTTTAGGTTGTCCTGCTGAATACATCACTGCTGATGAACGTGATGTTAGCCAACAGATTCCAGTGTAAGCAACTGTTTAAAAAGCTGTCCACAAATGATAAACTGGTTATAGAAAAATGCAAGAGATGCTTGCTTTTTGGCAGAACCAGTGGATAAGGATATAAGGATTAGGGGCAGTTGCTTTTGCCCCCCCCCCCCCCCCCCCCCCGCCCCCCATCTGGCTTGCTGCAAGCATGATATGAACTCTGCACAATGCTATTTTTAACTCCATGTTTGCTCTTTATATTTCAGATATGGAAGATGGATTTTTCAGAAACCATGACCTATCTTGTGTTTATAGTGGCCAGTGCAGCATTGCTTATTTATTCTGTCATGATTTTTTTTATTACTGTTTCTCTTATAACAAGGTCAGGCACCATCTTTTAACTTCCTTGTTTGCACAATCATCCTTTCATCTCCGCATGCCTCTTGTCTGTCGCTTGCATCTTGTCTGTCGCTTGCATCTTGTTTTTCTTGTCATTTTTTACATTGGAATGCTTGCATTAAATCAAGTTTAAACATTTTGATCCATACACATTTTTAGACGATTAAATTTAAAATATTGACCCAAGGCTAGGTGAACTTTTGCCAGCAAATCCATTGTACTAGTGTAAGGTTATAAAGCCAAGTACAAAATTAGACTTAATGCATTTTTTACAGTTTTTGAAGGGTGATTTTTCTCATTTAAAGTAGTGAACATTGAGATCAGGTGACTTGTAGGAGAGACTTAGATACTTATTTTTTTACAAAGTGCAAATTTTTACATATTAAAGTAAACATATAATAACAAACAGTTCCGTTTCATATTTAGAAAAAAATCTACTGTCAATACTGTATGTTTTTACTTAAAGTAATTCTTAAAAGTTTGCTGGTACATGAAAAGAGTGATATGGTTTACATTTGAAAGTTGGCTGGTACATGAAGAGTGATATGGTTTACATTTGAAAGTTTGCTTTACTAGCTAGAACATCCATCATGGAACAAGTAATGTGTACAATGTGTAATATGTACATTGTATCTCCCCCATGCAGTAAGTTGTACCTGCACAAACCAACTGGGGCAGCAGAACTGGGAGATGATGTCCCAGGTGTCTCAATCATCAAGCCATTGATGGGGGTTGATCCCCTCTTAGAGTATAATTTAGAGTCACACTTCAAATTAACATACCCCAAGGTGAGATTATATTAACATGTATTCACTTTTTAGCAGTCATTGAATATATGTTTTCTACAAATGTTAACCAAAATATAATGTACTAATTGACCTGAATGTAATTTTTTGTTGTTTAGTTTGAGTTGCTGTTTTGTTTCCATGACGACCAAGATGCAGCCATACCAGTGGTTCTCAAGTTACATGAAAGATACCCAGAAGTTATTATTAGAATCTTTATTGGTAAGCACTGTTTGTTTTTGTGGTGGTCTGTCACTGGTAGGGGTGACAGGCTGATTAAGCTAAGTAAAAAAAACAAGCAATTCTTTACTTTTCACTTCTCGTAGACGAAGTATAGAGGAAGCATTGTAATCGTTCAAAAAATCTAAATTGAGATTTTCACAAATCTCTACGGTTACACCTCACTGATTCGGAAAAACTTAGTTTTTCAATTTTGTCCGGTATGTCTGTGTGTATGTGTGTGTGTGTGTATCTGTGAACACTATAAATTGAGTACTGTTACAGCTAGGTTAATGAAATTTCATATATAAGTATTATATCAAATTTGTAGTTCTGTATAAACTTTTCAGCGATTTTCATTAACCAGGAGTTCTACCTATTGGTTTTTCAAAGAGTACTGTTTCAGATAGATAAACAAAATTTCACATAAAAGTAAAAGATCTGATTCTCCACCTCCGTTGAGCGGAAGTAGGAATTTATGTTTATCTACCAGGTTCTATTCTATTTTAAACAGTTTAAGTAATTAAAAATGGATTAAAAATCATGTCTACATCCCGAGTTGCCATCCCCTGTAGTGTTATATTAGTATATTCGAAAAAGTGTATTTTGTTAAGTTTTTCATGGAAATTATAGGCTTAAACCTTATTTTTAATGCCAAGTTTTTTTTTTAATGTAACAAAGACACACTTGTCATGTAATACTGGATTAAAATTACTGAGAGCTAAATTTAAAATGCTTATTTAAAAATAGATATTAAAAAATTGACAGGCAAAATCTTAGCATATAAACAGAATTCTGATATGATTGGCTTTACAAAGCTTCTGCTTTTCTATGACTATACGGATAAGCAGATATTCAAAAGTTAATTGTCTTTACAGAGAGAAAATAAAAATATTTATTTACAATTTTTAATTAGCCATATGTAGTTAATTTGCATAGTGTAGTTATATATGTAACTAAATAAAAGGTAAATAACATCTGTGGCCAGCAATATGAGGTGGTGCAGAGCAGTGTGTATCATTCTGTTAGCACAGTGCAGTGTGTGTCATTCTGTTAGCACAGTGCAGTGTGTATCATTCTGTTAGCACAGTGCTGTGTGTATCATTCTGTTAGCACAGTGCAGTGTGTATCATTCTGTTAGCACAGCGCAGTGTGTATCATTCTGTTAGCACAGTGAAGTGTGTATCATTCTGTTAGCACAGTGCTGTGTGTATCATTCTGTTAGCACAGTGCAGTGTGTATGATTCTGTTAGCACAGTGCAGTGTGTATCATTCTGTTAGCACAGCGCAGTGTGTAATATTTTGTTAGCACAGTGCAGTGTGTATCATTCTGTTAGCACAGTGCAGTGTGTATCATTCTGTTAGCACAGTGCAGTGTGTATCATTCTGTTAGCACAGTGCAGTGTGTATCATTCTGTTAGCACAGTGCTGTGTGTATCATTCTGTTAGCACAGTGCAGTGTGTATGATTCTGTTAGCATAGTGCAGTGTGTATCATTCTGTTAGCACAGCGCAGTGTGTAATATTTTGTTAGCACAGTGCAGTGTGTATCATTCTGTTAGCACAGTGCAGTGTGTATCATTCTGTTAGCACAGTGCAGTGTGTATCATTCTGTTAGCACAGTGCAGTGTGTATCATTCTGTTAGCACAGTGCTGTGTGTATCATTCTGTTAGCACAGTGCAGTGTGTATCATTCTGTTAGCACAGTGCAGTGTGTATCATTCTGTTAGCACAGTGCAGTGTGTATCATTCTGTTAGCACAGCGCAGTGTGTAATATTTTGTTAGCACAGTGCAGTGTGTATCATTCTGTTAGCACAGTGCAGTGTGTATCATTCTGTTAGCACAGTGCAGTGTGTATCATTCTGTTAGCACAGTGCAGTGTGTATCATTCTGTTAGCACAGCGCAGTGTGTAATATTTTGTTAGCACAGTGCAGTGTGTATCATTCTGTTAGCACAGTGCAGTGTGTATCATTCTGTTAGCACAGTGCTGTGTGTATCATTCTGTTAGCACAGTGCAGTGTGTATCATTCTGTTAGCACAGTGCTGTGTGTATCATTCTGTTAGCACAGTGCAGTGTGTATCATTCTGTTAGCACAGTGCAGTGTGTATCATTCTGTTAGCACAGCGCAGTGTGTAATATTTTGTTAGCACAGTGCAGTGTGTATCATTCTGTTAGCACAGTGCTGTGTGTATCATTCTGTTAGCACAGTGCAGTGTGTATCATTCTGTTAGCACAGTGCAGTGTGTATCATTCTGTTAGCACAGTGAAGTGTGTATCATTCTGTTAGCACAGTGCAGTGTGTATCATTCTGTTAGCACAGTGCAGTGTGTATCATTCTGTTAGCACAGTGCAGTGTGTATCATTCTGTTAGCACAGCGCAGTGTGTATCATTCTGTTAGCACAGTGAAGTGTGTATCATTCTGTTAGCACAGTGCAGTGTGTATCATTCTGTTAGCACAGTGCAGTGTGTATCATTCTGTTAGCACAGTGCAGTGTGTATCATTCTGTTAGCACAGTGCAGTGTGTATCATTCTGTTAGCACAGTGCAGTGTGTATCATTCTGTTAGCACAGTGCAGTGTGTATCATTCTGTTAGCACAGTGCAGTGTGTATCATTCTGTTAGCACAGTGCAGTGTGTATCATTCTGTTAGCACAGTGCAGTGTGTATCATTCTGTTAGCACAGTGCAGTGTGTATCATTCTGTTAGCACAGTGCAGTGTGTATCATTCTGTTAGCACAGTGCAGTGTGTATCATTCTGTTAGCACAGTGCAGTGTGTATCATTCTGTTAGCACAGTGCTGTGTGTATCATTCTGTTAGCACAGTGCAGTGTGTATCATTCTGTTAGCACAGCGCAGTGTGTAATATTTTGTTAGCACAGTGCAGTGTGTATCATTCTGTTAGCACAGTGCAGTGTGTATCATTCTGTTAGCACAGCGCAGTGTGTATCATTCTGTTAGCACAGTGCAGTGTGTATCATTCTGTTAGCACAGTGCAACAGTGCAGTGTGTATCATTCTGTTAGCACAGTGCTGTGTGTATCATTCTGTTAGCACACTGCAGCGTGTATCATTCTTTTAGCACAGCGCAGTGTGTATCATTCTTTTAGCACAATGCAGTGTGCATCATTCTTTTAGCACAATGCAGTGTGTATCATTCTGTTAGCACAGTGCAGTGTGTATCATTCTGTTAGCACAGTGAAGTGTGTATAATTCTGTTAGCACAGTGCAGTGTGTATCATTCTGTTAGCACAGTGCAGTGTGTATCATTCTGTTAGCACAGTGCAGTGTGTATCATTCTGTTAGCACAGTGCAGTGTGTATGATTTTGTGAACACATTACTCAACAGATACACACCATGTAAAATGCTAAAGTGCTCTGGTAGTTTTAGTGCCCTATAATGCATTTTGATTCTGGATTTCATTACATCTCACATAAAGATCTGTGTTGTGTAAATGAGATCACATACATCACACATTAAGATCTGTGCTGTGTAAATGAGATCACATACATCACACATAAAGATCTGTGCTGTGTAAATGTGATCACATCTCACATAAAGATCTGTGCTGTGTAAATGAGATCACATCCCACATAAAGATCTGTGTTTTGTAAATGAGATCACATTCCACATAAAGATCTGTGTTGTGTAAATGAGATCACAGCATCTATTCCCACCTGAAGATTGCCAGTTCCTTATCAGCCAGCTAATTAGAGTCTCAGATAGTTTGGCTTATAGCTGAATAGATATTTGTCAACCATTACTGTTTTATTAACCTACACATCCCATGATGGGACATAACATTATCTAAACAAGTTATATCTGTTACTAGGGGGCGCTAAAGATGTTATAAACCCAATGGTACAAAATATGGCTCCTGCCTATGATGCTGCCCAGTTTGAATTTATTTGGATTAGTTCCAGCAGGATTGAAGGTAAGTTTTAAGCTGGAGTTTGTTTTATTAGAGACTTGTCACCAGATGGACATGTTCTAGCCAAACAATCATTTGTTAGGACTGTCTGCTTACACAACTGAGATTGACTTGAACTGTCTAGTTAGTAGTTAGTGGCGAATTGTTGACAACGGTTAACCAGCATCAATTGATTTACAGACATGTTTATTTATGCTGTCAACTTGCATTAGTTTTATTTTTAAAATTTGCTGTTTTTTTTTTGTCCACAGCTTCAAATGAAATCATATTTGACATGGCCAGCAAGCTCCAGAAATCAAATGTGGCTTTGGTTCATCAAATACCTTTTACAACAGATAGCCCAGGCTTTGTCTCTTCTGTTGAGAAGGTAAAGAATGTTTTATTGAGTTGATAACTAAATGTTTTTTCACTGTCTGCTTGTATGCTTGTTATTAATGTTTAAATTTGGTAAAAAGTAGCCTATCTTTCACTCTGTGATTGAATCCTTTAGTTCATTAAAACTTCAGTTGAAAGTCTTTCTGAACTTGCTAAATACCATTATTTTTGTTTTTAGAAATTGATCTTAAATTATATTTTTTAATTCCAGATTTATTTTGGCTCAGCAATGACCAGATTTTACATATCATTTAACATATTAGGGCTGTGCTGTGTCACGGGCATGTCATATATTTTCAAAAAATCCTTGCTGGACCAAGCTAATGGCTTAGCTTATTATGGTCGCTACCTTGCAGAGGATTTTTTTTTAACACGAGCACTTCATGAAAAGTGAGTATATTTTGCTAACTTCTCTTCATCTGATGTAGGACTATTTAATTTTACATTACTAAATTTACAACTAGAGCGGCATTAATGACTCATGTGAAATGTGCAGAGTATTTTTCTCTGTACTTTTATATAACATTTTTTTTGGGACATTAAAAATTCAATAAAATTTGTATTTAAATATTTTCTGTTCTTTTGTTTAGAGGCCAAATGGTAATGTCTGCGATTCCTGCAAGGCAGAATGTTGGGCAAACAACAGTGGATGGTTTTGTTGGTAGAATGGTTAGGTGAGTTTGATAACAAATTGGTACACATTCATTTATTTCTAAATTTAAAAACAATTTTAGCGCAGTTATTTTTCTTGTAATTTCTTTTTATTAGATGTATAGCCTACAGCTGAATAATGTTATGTTTACTTTAAATTGAATGTTATGCTAGTTAACCTTTACGTGTAATTAAAGATAAAACCTGTTGCAGGTGGGTGAGGCTGCGTCTGAATATGATGACGCTAGTGACAGGTATATTAGAGCCACTCGCTGATTGCTTCCCACTTGGTGTCTGGGCCGGCTGGGCATTTCATCATTTTTTTAGCATCAACCCTTATTATTTCTTCATTCTTCATGTTCTTTCTTGGTTGATTTTGGATTACTTGCAACTCAAGTCTGTTCAGGTGAGTAAACTTAGGTTAATTTTTTTTATATATATTAAACACATACTTGCAAGGATATCAAACTAGGTTACTATATAAAGAGAGCCCTTAAATGATGCTCATAGTTATGTCGATGACTCATATATACATGACATGTATTTTGTGATTATCTTATATTAACCACAAATTGTGTGATATTTTTTAAATAGATAAGGCTGATGCATGTCTTTAAATGTGATTTTTACAGGGTTTGATAATTTGTTCTTAAATGTAGTTTTTAGATGAGGATTTAAAGTGGAAAATCACTTAAAAATTTTTAATTGACTGCATCTTTTGTACAAGATTCATAAGATAGATTGAAGTAATAATATTTTGATGAATTTTTTAAAGGAATACTTTATCTTTCAAAAGAGTAAATAAAAAATATGGCTGATTGATTAGTGAAAAGATATGTATTTTAACTAAATATGTTAAAAAGTTTGTTCCTTCATATACATGTTTTTTTTTTAATCTTCAGATTTGACTGTTTTTTATTTGTTGGTAGCCTAAACATAAATAATTATTGATTTTGGCAAATAATTTTAACAGCTATCCTATTACATACTCTAGATATTGATCAGTGTGATCAATTTTCACCTGGGCCAATCATGCATTGATCTGTCAGAGCTTGATAGATGTTACCTGATTCACTTTGTACAAAAATACACCTGACCATTGTAATGGTGGTTAACTGTTGAAATGGTACAATCAACTGTTGAAATGGTACAACTGACTGTTGAAATGGTACAGTTGACTGTTGAAATGGTACAGTTGACAGACTGTTGAAATGGTACAACTGACTGACAGTGAAAAGGTTTATTTTTAAAAAATATTTAAATTTTTTCATTTTGTTTTTTCAGAATGGTCCACTTGTGTTTTCCAAAGCTCAGTATGTGATAGCGTGGATAGTGCGGGAGCTTTCTGCCACGTATGTGTTTCTTTTGGCGGTCACCAACCCCCACACCATCAAGTGGGGGAACAGAACTTATTACGTAAGGCTCGGGGGACTCACTGAACTGGTCAAAGAAAACAAACTTTCTTCCTTACGGCTAGAGACACATTCTCTTAAACCTAGACATAATGCTTGATATGTTGGACAAAAAACTCCCTGCTTGGTGACTAAAACATCCTGTTGACCCTGAATTCTTGATATTTTAAGTGACAGGAACAGATGAAGAGATTACATTTTATTCCTTGTATAAATAGTTTCTGTAAATTGTAGAAGATGACTTGTTCTTGTATGGCACTGTTCTGGTGGCGGTGACGAGTTTTAATCGTCCGCTTGCTAAAAGTAATAATACACCTACTGGGTAACGAGGTGTCAAGAGTAAAACTGCTGTTTTTCAAATTTTTTACAACTTTTTATAAAGTAAATTATTAATTAAAAACATGGACACTTAAATTTCTCTGACTATTGGAGGATTGTTTATAGTGGTGTACATTAAACCTGAAAGCTGGGAGAGGATCTTTTTTAAGGAGTTAAATATAATTGTGTTAGTAAATGAACATGTTTGTTTGTTTTCATTCATGAAGAGCTCAATGAAAATAGATGCACAGTGTAAATTTTAATCAGATGTACATAAAACAAATAAGAGCAAAAAATCATTGAAGAATATTATGAATGGCCAAATGAAAAACAAATTCCACTTCATAACATGTCAATTGAATGTTCCTTATAAATGTAAGACCATGTAAATGAAATGTGTAATAATCAGTGTAATTAGTTGAATGAGTACATTATACTTCCTTAATTTAATATGTTGTTTTATTATCAAACAATCTAATGCCCTTTACTAGATATTTTTTTAATTTAATAGTATGAACCTCATTGATGTCCATTAGTTAAAAAAATTGCAATAATTGATAACAACTTGACAACTATTTAAAGACCATGTTGGGAGAAAAATATAAGATTTTACGTTGATTTAACAATTTTGATCGGGATAAGTATTAGAATTATTAGAATGATTCTTAAGATAATGGATTAACTAAGTGATCCAGAGAGAATACAAATTCTGGCTTTGAAAGAACTTGATTAAGCTGCGCCTCTATCCCTAAGCTTATATCTTTTTCCTAGCTTATATCTTCTATAAATGTGGGTAAAAGATCATAATATGATTAATACTCAACTAACTAAAATGTCTCTAGTCCTCGAAAAAACCCAATACTGTGTAACAATTTAGGTTTGAATGTTGGCTCATGGTTTACGCTGTTACTTGAGATCTAACTGTAATAAAAATAAGGCAGCCAAATAGTTTGTTTCAAAGTTTTGGTGTGTGTTGCATTGTGTGGTTATAAGTTCTGTATTTAAAAGAAAACATGTTTTATTAATGTTAAATATTTCAGGACTTTAGATAGTGCTATGTTCTGTTACTACAAAAATGTTATTTGTAATGATAGGATGGTGGCGCCTATTATATTGTGATGGTTCAGAAATTATAGGATGGTGGAGTCTGTTATACTGAGATTGTTCAGAAGTTAGTGGTGTGTCATATTGTGATTATTCAGAAGTTGGTGTTATACTGAGATTGTTCAGAAGTTACACAATAGTAAAAACATTCAGGGTAGATTTTTTCTAACTGAATTTACTTAACTCATTTTATTGTTTTTAAAAGTTGTATGTAAATATCATATGTGAATTTTAAAATTTTTGCTAACAAATTTTGTTTAAATGTATTTTTGTTTAAATGTATTTTAACTAATGGTGATACTCAATTTGTAATCTGCTCACTAAGAGAATGAAATAGCATAAATTGTACATGGTAGTGTTAAGTGGTGGTGGGGTTCTGGGGAAAATGTGAACAACTTGCATGATACAAAAAAATATTTAACTTATTGCCAGATAAAATTTTTGTAAACTAAAATTAGGAGGATTTGATCTTTTTGCTGTAAAGTGAAACATGTTACTCAAGGGCATTAACTTTTAGTGCAACTCAAATACTGTTAACTTATTTTGGGTAACTAACTGTAAACTAGTTATTTGATATTACAATCTGTTCTGCTGGAAATAGCTTTTGGTGTCTGTTAAAATGTTAAAATTATTTTTTGGCTGATATATTTACTTACTACCATTTTATTGAAGTATTTTTCATTTTGACATCTGGTGGTAACCAATGTTCCCTCTAAGGACCAAGAGTGTGTGTGCAAAAAATATGTTGTGTGCGCGGTGCTAAAAATGACTTGGGCAAGTTAATATGTATTTTTAGTCTTGCAATTAAGCATAATAATGAAGGCATGCATTTTGATAAATTAATAGTATAATGTGTGTGACTTATGAAACATATGCAATTAAATGGAGATACGAATACCATCAAAATAAATAAAAAAACTAATAAAAACGTTCAGTTATACTTAGACAACAAGTTATATGGTCGACTTACTATGTTAAAGTAAGACAGTCATATGGTAATAATGCTAATACCATAACGGTAATACAAACGCAATAGTTTAACATATGCAACATTTAATAAAGCTGACTTAAAAACAAATATTAGCTAACCTTTCAGGGGCATTTATTGCAATTTCTCGCGTCTAGCCTTACATTGCTTCCACACCTTATATGCTTTGTTCAAATCCACATCCTCTCCAGCATTTAGATATAATTTAGTTTGCATCAGATTCTCCAAATGTGTGGCTTCAAGTCTATTTCGTGCTTGCACTTTTATTATGTTAATAAGGCTAAAACCTTGTTCGTAATCAGCACTGCATGCTTGGAAGGTACAATAATGTCACTTAACTTTGCCAGTGAGCTAAATTTTGTTATTTGTTTTGACAAATCTTGCATATTCAGACATATAATTTACAGAAACAGATTTGAGTTTTTCACTTTATCGAAATTTGAAGTCATTGTATTGGATGGTAATTAACTGATCATTTGTTGTACGTAACCCGTCTTTGTACTTTACGCACAGTTCTTTGATATCTTTGACGCCGAACTCAAATGCATATTTTTTAAAACCTGTAGCATAAAAAAAGATGACAAAAACTGCAGTTCATCTCTTGGAAACCTAACATTTAAATGTTCGCAGACTGATTGTATGTACTGTGTGGTTTGCCTTGTGTCGATTCTTTCGTTTAACTCACACTTTTCTTGGCTTTAATGTTCAGTGTAGTGCTGTTACGCCTGTCTCCAGAGCTAAGGCATCACTTACAGTAAGCTGAGTTATTCCACTAAAAACGGTTTTGTAGAATACAGAATTGACTGGACGAAATTTAAAATAAAGGATTAGCATTTTATGTACTGTTATGCCATCAACTATAAGCGTGTGGAATGATGCTGCTCGAAGTTCTGTCAGTATGTTCTTTACAACAACTTCGTTAATTACTTGAACAAACTCAAAGGCGTATTTCTTACTTCGCCAACTGTCTGGTATTGAAACATACTTCCCCATGTGGTTATGAATCAGTTGTACCGACCGCATCGAGGCGTTCATCTTAATGATAAGAAGAACATTATCCGTTAGGATTCGAACTTGATCCTCGTTTGATCGCTGGCGCTCGTTTTGCTCAATTAGTTTTCCTCGCTCAATGTAAGTTTCAACCATCAGACGTTTAAGGTCAGTTCCATGTGAGCTGTTGTAGGAAATCGCAACATTTCCTACGTAAACGAGAGACAATAGTTGACGTTTACAGTAGTCAAGCGCCCATGATTCCCAGAGCTTTCCTGTGACCAATTCGTTGTTTATGTTGGTTTTGTTACAAGTAGTAGCAGCACAGAACTTACACTTCAGTCTAATCTCATCTGAATATTCGTAGATGCTTTTTAATTCAACCGAAACATTATATGATATGGCGTATCGGTTGTTACTATAACTTTGAGCCATTCCAGTTTAAACGAATATATCGCTTTTTTTGTGCCACATTGTTGTACTGCTTGTTACACACATTTTTCTTTTCAACATTTTCAAATAGCACACATTAGTGGACATTAATTCCTGATTTACCTAACCAGTCTGTGAATACTGAAACAGTTCGATCCAGGTGCACGTAATAATCCCAAAGAATTGGATATATAGTATATAAATCCTTAAACCAAACAGAAAAACAGACATCCACCTTTAGTAAAGTAGATTTTACATCTGACTTGGGTAAACCGTCTTAGTATCAGGAGGTGGGTGGGGGTTGGGAGATGGGGGAGGGCAGTGACAATAGAAAATAAAACCTTGCATGGTCAGCTAGTAGCCACAATCCCTTTCCGGTATTAGGTGTCAGTAAACCATTAAATCAAGCAGAGGGAGGGTCACCCAGACATCACATCGGTACCCGCCCCGCTCAGTTTAGAGTGAAGTCATTAACTGGACCTGTGGTATGACAATGACAACCAAGGTCACCCCCCCCCCAAGTCAATGATACCCCTTGGTTTCTGTTTATGCATCAAAACACAAAGACTGTTCGTTTAACAAAACAGGCAATAAAAATGTCGCTTAATTCAAACCACTGGCCACATTTTTTTTTGTGAATCAGGCTAGCCCGACGTTCTGATAATCTGTGCGCGGGGTCAGAAAATGTCTGCGCGGCACATTTTAAAGTACTGCGCGGCCGCGCAGCCGCGCAGCTTAGAGGGAACACTGGTGGTAACCAAATTTGTTTATACTTTCTCCTCCTGTTTTAGTCTCAGAGATACTTGACTACATGTTACATTTTACTGCTAGCTTTTGAGTCCCAATTTTGTTTTTTGGTTCGAAATACATCCATATATATAGGAGCAATTGAGATTTATAGACGTATGATTCTAAACTATGTTGTGGACTTAAAATGAACAGATGGCTGAAATAGCTTATAGATGCAGTTACTATGTATGTACTAGGAAATATGTTGATCTATATTTAATTGCACCAGAAACATTCCAATAAGTATTTTGCGAACACAAATGCAATTTTAATAAAATTTAATTCTGAAAATGTTTTTATGTAAAAAAAAAATAAAACAACCCTTTTGTATTATATATTGCTGTTTGTATATACTGATTGATAAAGATAAATATTCTATTAGTGTCCAAATTGTTTATAAATTTGAGTTTTCATTATTGCATACCAGTATAGGTAGGGTAAAACTCGAATGGACTATATCTTGTATACACATTTTTGTTAATTTTTATTTTTATATTTCACATTTATCAGTACAATTTCTCTTAACAGTGTTGTAATTAGTTGCTTAAAATCACTTGGGTAAAACTAACCGGTTATGTGGGATTATATAGAATAATATTTACCCCATTAATTAGCATATTTTATTTACATATTTTACAACTAATTGAAGTTGCTAAGGCTGTTCCACTAACCTTTTTTTTTGTAATCTTCTGTGCCTTACACTAGGTACATTGATTCAGTATTTTTGTGTTTATCTAGAAAAATATTGATTCAGTATTTTTTTTGTTTATCTAGAAAAATATATTTTTCAGTTATTCTGCTTGACAAGTAATAAAAATGAAAACATTTTTTCTGCATGTGTTGTCAGTTGGAGCTGTTAGTTGACATGACATCAAACCACTTTAATATCAGTAGTTGACAGGTATTGAGAGCTGGTAAAAGTTTATGTCTACTTTAGCCATGTGTTTACCTGTAACATTACCATCATCATTTACTTGACAGCTCTATGTTTATTGCTTTAAAACAGATCATTAACATTAGAAAACTACTCCTCACATTTCACTGGGTTTTTGTTCTTTTTTTTTTTTTTTTTGCAAGTGCTTTTCAAGTAGATATAGTCTAGTACTAAAAGATTTTTAAAAAAAGTTAAAATACAAATTTTAGTTACATTTTATTTTGGAAAATGTACTATCTGATCTGTTATGTTAAAGTAGCTCATTCAATATTTTAAGTCTCTTAATTGAATCTTGTGTTCCATTTAACTCAATCCTTTTAAGCTCACTCATTTTTTTCTTGTTCATCTCAATAGTTTTTATATTATTTGAACCCAGCCATTTTTACAGTTGCCTATAAAATATTTGTTACATTGATTTCCATTGATTCTAAGTTGCTTCCTGTTTTCATTTTGTCAGTTTATTCTAATTTGTTATATAAAGTGTTTACAGACAAAAGCAATTTGTTTTATCATGGAGAATACATTCTAGATTAGCCCACTGGTATTTTAACTTACTGCTGATAGCTCCAGGCCATGGCTTACTTTTATAAAACCTGGTGTTTTCCTGATAAGTATTTAACTTTTTTTTTGTGTTGTATATTTGATTGTTCTAATCAATTCTCCAAAATGTAATTGTTTGTGTTCCTCATGTAAGATATGTTGTAGTTATTCTTAAATTTATGGCACTTTTTGCTTAAGTCTGGGTGGGAATCAAACTTAACTATCCACCTTATTGGAACAAGAAATATAAGTCTACATGGGAAGTAAAAACTATGGCAAGATCATGACGATTGGTTATTTTATGGTGTATGAGGAGACCAGTGTGATATTTGCTCAGTTGGACCAAAGTTGTTTTTTTAAATTAATGATGTTGAATTTTATAGACATGATTGTGATCTTTCTTGTTCCAATAAAAATCATCTTTTTACATATAACATTTTATTGCTGTAAATATTTTTTTATAATCACCTAACTCATAATATATCACAAATCAGGTTATATGATGACTGCTTTATTAAAATTGATGTAGTATTACACATTTTGTATTCTTCATACATATTTTTGAATAACTGTGGATTAGACTAATATGTGTTTGTTTGAAACCAACAATAAAGTGTATGTAAAATGCAATATCAAAAGATATTAAAAAGCTATCTTACACATACAATTGTATTGTCTTCAATATTTAAATAATTCTATGAGACACAGCACCTTGTGGACCAATGCTCTACACATCTGTCATCTGTAAGCACAGACTCATCTTTATATGCACACCACTTTCCTTATAAGTAATAACAAATGAAATAATTTTTTTGTTAAAATGAATAATCCTTTTATCAAATGCAATTTCTAATACAAACAGTATAAGATTTAAACTTGCAAAAAATTAATAAAATTTAAAAATTTTATTTTGCAAAATCATGATGTGAAAATTATTTTTATTGGTAAGCAAATCACTTTTGATTAAAATAATGTGCGATATTTAATTATCATTACATATCTGTAAACAAATGAAAACCAACAATAGCCAAGAGACCCCAATTGAAGGAAACTATGCAAATTATGTAGACTAGGGGAATATGTTTTATCTTGGCAGAGAAGAACATCTGTGCTAGCTTGTCGCTCTTGCAGGAAAATTTAATAAGTTTAGGGTAGTTGTACTTCCAGAGAAATGTTATTTAATAATCGAAGGGGAATAACAAAATCAAACAACTGCTGCCTTGTTCTTGAATGGAAAAAGGCTATGGAAGCAAACTCAAAAAGAAAAACACTTAATACTTCATTGGAAAAAAACGAATCCATTTAAAACGAAAAAGAAGTCTATTTCAGAGCTGATAACTAATTTTCAGTGCAGTAAGACTTTTTTAATGGTCAAAGGGGAATAACACAATAATAAATTTCATCGTTGTAGTATGGCAAGAGTTGCATTTATTTTTCATCAATTATTAGCATATAGCTGTATTTACATTTGTAAATTAATGAACGAAATGTAGAATAAAATTTACTTTTGAGCTCCATGTGAGAAATCATTAGTCGCTTTAAATACCTGTTTTAACCAACTTCATTTAATTTTTATTAATTCGCCCTACTAACATATTTTAAAGTTGTCAAGGGGAAATAACATAATATTTATTTTAGTAACAGTTTAGTAAGAGTTGCTTCCCTTTTTTTAATTTTAAAACAAAAAGAATTTTTAAAAAGTAAAGTCAAAGGGAAATAACACAGTAATAATTTTACTATTATAGTTTAGCAAGGGTTATTCCTTTTTATCAGCTATTAGTGTATAAATAAACGAAATGTAGAATCAATTTATTTTGGCAAAAGTAAGGTCCATCTGAGATTCAATTTTAATTTTTTTATCGTTTTCAATACCTATTTAAGTTACAAAATAGATTACAAAAACAGAAATTACAAAACAGATTACAGATTAAACAGATTTTAAAATTAATAAAGAAATGCAACTTTTACCAAACTGTTTTTTAAAAACAAATACTTTGTTATTTCCCTTTGACCGAAGAGATGCCTAGAAGAAACAGTGGCTATGTCTTCTTTGAAGACGGGTGACAACAAACCGAAGATGCCAAATCGTTGGATGGTGTGGGCTGACACAATCACTCACCACACTCAAGATCGACTTTGTGAGGTCACCAGTTTCAGTATTATTTTTTACTCCTAAGATAAAAGAAGCAAATGCTAAAAGGGTCTAACGTCTTGCCTTTTAACTTCCCAAGTATCGCGTAATTCCGAACACCACCCTGCGTGAGTTAAGTCATCTTTGGCATTCCTCCCTCCCCCCCCCCCCCCCACCCTTACACTTTAGAACACAACGCTAGTTAGTAAAAAAAAAACTATGACAAAATAAGGCAAATGTGAATTTAGCGTTGTTTTAACGTTGTTTTATTTTTAGGCGGTTTAACGTGAGAGCCGATGGTATTATATCAAATTTGTAGATCTGTATCAACTTTTCAGCGATTTCCGATTAATGGAACTTTTTCTGCTTTCAATTTTTCAAAAGCCTAACTTAAGTACTATATCAGATAGATAAATGAAATTTCACACGTAAGTAAAATATCTAATTCTCTGCCTTCTTTCAAATTTTGGTTAATTTCCGTTGACTGGAAGTAGTAATTTACGCTATTCCGGATTTCTCAAAAACCGCATGTGAATTCACAAAGTACAAATAATATTCCGCACTATTATACACATTTTGTTTGGCTTTCAGTTGGTGCGCAATTCTGTTTTCTACGAGATTCTATTCTATTTTAAAAAGTTTAAGTAATTAAAAACGGATTAAAAATATTGTCTATATCCCGAGTTGCCATACCCCGTAGTGTTATATAACAATATTCGAGAAAGTTTAGGGGAGATTACTCCCAGTTTATTTCAACCAAATTTCTGAATTGGATGTTAAAAACATGCACCGAATGTTGAAATTAATAGTTTCCTGTTTATCTTAACCAATCAGCGTTATGTTTTCGAAGTGACAGCGGCACAACAATGCTGAAACAAAAGTTATAAAATTAATGTCCCAATAAGTGAAGCTTGCTGTTGTTACAGAAGCTTGGTCTAGATCTAGATCTAGTTCTTTTAAGTAGAAAAACACTCAGGTGTTGTAGTATTGCTGTATGATTATGTTACTTGAAAAATGAATACCTCTAAAAAATTTCAAATTGTTTTTCTGATCGACACAAACATTTCTTCCACGAACTGTAAAAAAGTCGAGGATCACTGCAGAGAGGTTTTATTGACGATTCTCCGTGTTCTTTCTCATGTATCCAATATTTGTGGGAAAGAAATAAACAAGACTAAACAAGAATATTCTGAGACGAAAAGTTGTGAGTTGTATGTTGTAGATCTGGAATGGGGTTTTAAATTTTTCAACACCACTTCACCATTGTTCAGAAAGGGATCAAATCACACAAGTTTTAAGAGCTTCAAATCTGCTCATGTAGAAAATTTTGAAGAGAAAATAAAAGAGGCATTCTTTGGGCGAAATGATCATCCCTCTGATAAAACTCAGTACAAACGCTTACCAAACCCGTCAGATAATTTATTAGCAGCGCTGACAGAGGTTTTACATGACTTCAAATGGATTGATAATAATGACATTCTGACCTCTCCAGTAAATAGGAGAAAGGGAAAACGGATTAACCACCATGAATTTAGCAGTAATTCATTTGAAAAGTTTTTGTTCATTATTTCTAAAGCACCATGTTCAAGACAAATGTTGAGGCGATTTTCAAATAAAAAGATTATTGATGCTGACATTTTTTTGGATTCTTTTACGTCACCTGCATTAATAAATGAATATGTCTATAAGTTCAAGATATCAGTAAATTGGATTGACATGACATCAAAATATTGCTGCCATGAAAATGACATTACTCAACAGGTATGCCCCGCCCTAGGCTAAATAATTTAAAATAAATTAGGTTTAAGTTTAAATTTTTCTAGCCTGACATTGTAATGATATGCCCCTAATCTTTTTAAAATTTTGGACTCGTTTATTAGTATTAGATTAGGCCATCTATTAGCAGTACGAACATTTGCTAAAAGTGCCGATAAAAATGTTAGCCTTTAGGGTTTAGGCCTACTATTAGTGAGGACCTGGAATTTGACCAGTTTCAATATAGGCCTAGCGTTAGCCTATATTCTATATTCTACTTCAAATTTAATTTTTAAGTGTGTAAGCTAGATGCAAACCTATGTTAACATATGTATTATTTATCTTGTAGGATGATACAGCAGAAAGTCTGATGATCTTAAGAGATACCTGTAGTAAATTGAAAGGGTATTTTATACTGAAAGATACTGTCCTCAGACACAACCCTGTAATTCAAGAGACAAGACAATTGGAATCTAATGTGAATCATTTGCTAAATAATATGGCTGTAGAGTCATTACTGTTTCATTTAACCATTTCACCTGAACAGCTGGTTGCTTCTTATAGTGAAACAGCATTTTTATCTAATAAAAGTAAGTGTGTAAAGATCACCCTATATGTTAGCTTTTATATTTTTAAAGCAATTACTTCTACTATAACTATAATGTTAAGGATGTGATTAAATTAAAATAAAGTTGCAGTAAAATACAAAACTGTTTAAAAGAAATACTTACTTGCTTTCTACTTCTAGGTATTACTTTTTGTGATGTATCAATCCAGATGGTACCTATTAATGGGCGGTAGGTAATTATTCATGCTTCAAGATACCCATAGTAATCCCATTGTTAGACAGTGGTTATTCAAACTGAGTACTTTTGGAATACTATCATTTTTTTTGTTTGTTTTGTAACTCACTAAACAGGGTAAGGTCTTTACATGGAACCAATACTCAACCTGTATCCAGCTCAAACTGTGATTTGACGAAAGCTAAGTTAACCCTACATGGCTGTATCCCACTTGGCTTTGAGTGTGACTGGCTGTTCACTAGGATGTTGTCATCGTACATTGTGAACTGCACTGAGTCAGAAATACTTTCACAAATGCAACAGTTTTTACTGTCCACAGAAACTTTTGGGGTTAGTACAATAATGAAATTTATTGTTTGTTTTTAGTTTTTTTTTTTTTTTTAATAACTGAGTTAAAAAAATATTTTGTTTTCAGACCATTTTAATTTTTTGTTTTAGGTATTAACAGTAAACACAGAAAATAAAACTGCTGAAAGGCTTGCCATACTGCAAGCAGTTTCTGGTTCAGGTTTATGCTGTCTACATATTCTCCAAATGGACTCCAATGTTTTTCATAAGCCAGCTCAGCAACAGACTGTAGTCACAATGGATGGATTGAGAAAAACAGCAGATGATGTGAATAATACTTGTGAAAGTCAGCTAAATGCTGTCCAGGATTTTACCTGTCTTAAAGGTAATTATTTTTTTTACATTATTTTCATATGTGCAAATTATGACCAGTGGTGTAGCTAGGGTTTTTGGGGCCTTGTGCAAAAAGTATCAGTGGGACCATTTGTCAGCACTTAGGTTGAAACTGAGTTAATCGTGGGTAGAGAAGAAATCAACTACTAACTGCTGGAGTCCAAATAAATGAGAGAGATAGTTGTTGTCGCGGTGGGGGAGGGGCCCGTTGAGGTGAGGTTTGTTATGTGCATCTATGTGTGCTCGGTGTCATCCCGCATAGCACAAAAGAGTCAATTGTTCAAATGGCAGTTTTATATTACATGACTGGACCAGGATCACAGAAAAGCACAGTTTATTACTACTTAAGGAGTCTGTCAAGTATTGGCAAACTTTGCCTTTATAGGCTTATTTTCTAAATGACTTGCTAGAGAATAAATCTTCTTAAATTGCCCTTTTTAAAAACTATTTTTCAGCTAACAAGAATAAAAAAGATTTTGTCAATTCTTTTTAACTAGCCATCGGTACTCATTAAACGTGAATATTAGGACTATATATTTTAATGTTATACTTGTTTGAGAAAAATATTTTATAAAAAAAGTTATTTGTCTAACAGGGTTTGTGCTGCCTCCAGAAATTCCAGGAGGTCCTGGAAAACTCATGAAATCTTAAAAAAACGTAAAAATCTCCTGGAATTCTCATGAAATCTCATGAAATTTCATTTAACCACGCAAAACCCGACCAAAATTATTTGATTTTGTTCCGCCAATCATTGAACAGTAGTTTTAAAATGGGACAAAAATTAACGCATCAGCCGCCGTACGACTGAATCGCGCTACTGTGGGGTTCTACACATCATGCTGCACAGCAGGTGTGTGGTCATGTGATGCTAGGCGGTTGATCCGATCGAATGATATAAAAAATATCTAAAGAACATGGTGCTCCCGTGCTTGACTCGTCCGCTATTACATTTTAAAAGTAGACAGGCATGTTCCATAACTTTGTCTTAAACTATTGAAAAAAGTTGTAGTAGTATTTATGGCTCTGGATTAATCGTCAAAATTAATCTTCTTTAGAAATTAATCTGGATAGCTGCAGCCCAATCAAATAATGCTGGTTCGTGTAACGTTTGATTATTTTGTACATTAATTTTTTGTTAAAATTGCTTTAAAAAATAAATTAAATTTTACCCGGGGTTCTCTTTTTCGGTTGACTAAAAAATTTTTTATACCCTTTACAATGTGGAGGTTACTAGCTCGCCAAATAGACCAAAATGGGACGGGGCGGGTATGGGGAGTCACCGACCATCCTACACGGTTTGTAACACCCATAGCCTCACCCCGCCCCCACTAGCCCGTGACAGGCAGACGATCGCCGCCTTCGATGTTGTATAACACCCGTACGGTACACAATAAAAGCATGCAAAAAAAAGTTAAACATACATAAATAGTGATTGTGATTTGTCAGATTTTCTCGGCAGCGAGATTGGCTTAGTTTTAGGAGTTTATCTGCATCTTTTCTAGGCCAAATTAACATTTTCTAAAGTCACCCTAATTGTTAAAAAAAACCACTATAGAATTGTTGTATACATTTCCTCGCTCAAACAATATTATATATTTTCAATAAAACAATTTTTATCTGACTCAGATAATACAGCTGTGTTTACAGAAGAAAAAGTGTTTTTAAGTCACACCATGAACTCATGGCATCAACCTAAAGGCTTGGGTTTATCTTCTCTTGTTTCCCAGGTTTGCAATAGGTTAGTTCCTATGTTTTTTTCAATCTTATTGTTTGCATCTTATCTAAATAAATGTTTCTCTGTAATTCACTAGCAAATATCGTTTCTGTATTAAGCTTTGTCATGCTTAGCAAACTGTTTTTGATGCACTGGTTTCATATTTCTTCTAGATCAAAGCCATCAATAGAGAAGTCTATTTTAAAGGAGATTCAAAAGTTTTATGTTAAAGAGAAGCATCCACCTGAAATAGTTCAAAACTATGCGCCATCATTTTGCACACCGATATGTGGTAAGACTGCTTTTAAAATATAAACAACCATGCTCCATCTTTTTATACACCTATGAGTGGTGAAATGACTTTTTAAAATAGGCCCCTGATGTAATGTAAATGTAATGTAAAAAATGTGTAACAGTACTCTTGTAATCTTTTAATAAAATCTCATAGTTTTTAATTGTTATTATTCCATGTTTTACTAAGTATTACATCTAAATAGAAATAATGACTGTTTTATAAGTATGCACAAACAATTAAAGTAACTGATCACTACATTGTAAAATATTTTATTTCTTTCTTTAATCAGCAACAAGAGACAACACAGCTGGCAATTCAGGAGGATCAGATACAAAAACATCTGTCAGTACTAGGCTCTCATCAAATCTAAGCCGTGGGAGGTTAATGGTAGACCGAGCCAGAAGTGCAAGCTTCATGGTTGAGGAAGGAAATTCTATTTTAAACCATAAATCTCCAAGCCCATGCAAGAGATCAAATGCCTCAAATTGTTTTGTGGATGTAGGTGAGTAATCAAATTACCTTATACAGGACTGCCTACTTGCATGATTTTTATCTGCAATTTTACTATTTTTTCACCCAGGTCATGGTATTAAGATTATGCCTACATTTACAGTTACGCTTTTGCCTTCTGTAAAAATGAAAATTATTGTCAGTGTTTTTTTCTTGTTGTAACTTTCCATTCCTGGTCTGAGTTTTAAATTTTTATTTAGCTTATTAAAATTTTACTTGTATTATTTGTTATTTCTAGTTAACAAACATCTTCCAAAACAATTTATTCCTTTCTCCCTTCCTGTCAATGTTATGGCGGGCAGGAATCACTAGGTCTGTATTGTGGACCTACATTGACCCCGAAAATATGTGGCTGTTGACGAATATTTCATTTGTAATAAGCGAAAGACTGATTGCTCATTGACACTTATTTCTGTTAAAAATACTTGTACCATTTTTTATGAAAATAGGCAGATGTTTTAGCTATAAAAATAATAAACTACGAGTTTATTTATTTATAAAACCATCAAGTTGTGGGTAAAGTACCATGTAGTCAGGCAGTCATTACCTGATAAAATTTGGATAAATAGCTAGACAAAATTTGTGAGAACTTTGCCCCTTTGGCCTTTGCTGTTTTTTTTTTTTTTTGGGTGTGCAAATATAAAAGATTTTTTAACTAAAAAAGTCTAATTGTAGGCCTACCTAGATTATGAGTGTTATATTTATTTAAATATCCATATATTTGGTTTAAATATAAAAATTTCAATAGTGTAGACCTAGCATATGACATAGCTATTTGAGTGAGTCAACATTATGTTCTCAATTTTTTGGCAGTTTTTTTTTATAGCTTTCAATTGTCATCAATATGCTGTTAGGTTTTCTAATAATATAAAATTGCAATTGTTTTTTTTTTTAATGTGAAAAAAATATTCAAAGTTACTGACAGTATCCAATTCTTACATAAAATCTACGCTTTTGTTACTGAAATAAATTTTATGGGATAGGCTGCGCTGCTTATACATTATGATATATTTTATCATTCATAATGCATCTATGATGATTTAATTTTTAAATCCAACTTCCTCTTTATTTATTTTTTACTAGATCTGCAATCAGAAGATGATTTAAAAACGTACCTTTCAAAACAATATGATGAGGTTTTGAGTGCTGGCATTGCCATAGAAAGTACAGTTCGGGCTATAATGACAGTTGCTTGTCGTTACATGACCAGCAAAGGACACAGCAGCCCTCAGAAGTCAGCTGTAACTTTGATTGAAGAGCATTTGTCTTTGTCTTGTGAGAAGCTGAAAGATAAATTCAACAGAACCAGTGCAGATAATAGCACTAAAATAACAGAGTAAGTACAATCTGCTACTAGGGCAATTTTAACAACTCTCTTGATTAGCTCATAGTATAGTTTTTTACTTACATCCTGCAGATACAAGCTTCAAGTGATACTTCGTCTAGAGATGGAATGCTTGTCGCTCAACATGGACATAGGTCATCAGGAACAAGTGCTTGCTGTGGTAATATGTAGTCATGTTTAATAATTATCAGTTTATTGAGATTTAGACTTTGTAGTTCAGCGGATTTCCAGATTTTAAAATTTGGTTTCATTATTAAAATGACATTGGTGAAGAGAAAGAAAGGGGTGTTAAAAACTGCATTATACTTGACACAGGGATATTATTGCTTGGTTAAGTAGGTCTTTCTAAGCTTCATAGACTTCAGTAATTAAGTAAGAATTTCAGAGAGAAAAAGACAAAGAGAAAAAGAAAAAAATTGTCGTTGAAATGGAAAAAGTGTTTAAAATTTGTATTATTAGAAAAAGTTATAAAATAAATATCAAAACTTTGTTGAAAAAAAAAAATTATGTACAACATTAGTCTTTTTGGTGTCATTTTAGTACCATTGTATGGATTTAATATAAGATAATAGTTTAATCTTTAAAAAACTTTTCTTGAATAGATAACAAGTATGCTAAGAGGTCTTTCATTTTTGGTTGGTGCAACAACATTAAGAGAATTTTTAACAGATCTGGTGGCCAGGTGAGTGAATAAGTATTGAATATTTGCAAGACAGAATGTCCTTTGTAATCTCATTAGTTGCACTTTTAAAATTTTTAACTTGTTTTAGTTGGGATACTAATAGTCAGTTACAGAGTAACTTTCAAATTTAACCAACCTGATGAAAATTTGGCTTGTTGGGTTTGTAGTTGTGAATGATGGTAGAAAGAATACTCCAATTTTATGAATCCATTTTATAAAAATTTTCTGCCATGTTCTAGCTACTCATCAACATTACCTAAACTGCTAGTGGATATTCATGATGAACTGATGCTAGAATTGCCGCCCCTGCTCTCCAAATTTGCCTCCCCTGCAGCACCCAGCAGTGTGATGAAGCCAAGCTCTGTGAATGAGGATAGTTATTTAAGTGCTCCAGGCTCCATGCAGCTCTTTTCTCAGTTGTCTGATCACACATCACAAACAGTGCGCAGGTTTGTATATGAGCTAGTCTGAGAATGTCATTACAATGTTTACTGCTAAGTTTTAAAGAGTAAATTAACTAAAACCTCAACAATGCTACAGTTTACTGTTGTATCTTTCAGATCAAAGTTTAAACAACACCCAAGCATATCAGATTTTAGGCAGACAAAACAAATACTTGTCAAGCCAAAGGTTTGTACACATTTTCTTGGTGGTGTTTTAACTAAATTTATGTTCAGAATAGTTTTAGAAAAAAATGTTATCTAAGATTTCTTTTTTTTAAAAAAAGATTTCACTATCTGGATTCTAAATTAAACCTTTTTTTGTGTGCAGGAAGTTGTTAAGAATAAAGATGCAATTAAAGAGAAAACAAAGATTAAAGTACGATCGTCTAGGAAAAAACATGGAGGTAAAGTTTTGCTTGAAGAATTTTACTTTAAGGCGTCCGAAACAGTACTTTAGTTAAATTAACTCTTTCATTCTGGAATTACCATTACCCCCACTCAGAATGACCCATTTAAATTTATTTAAAACTAACACTTGATACTTAAATATAATTGAACACTGGAGCATTGTACATGTGTGTGGCTCAGCAGATCATAAGCTGTATTAATAGGTTCAAATGTTTCTGTTATGTGAAATTTTGTCAGCTCCCTTCTCTAATCTTTCTGTTATGTGTAATCTTGTCAGTAAGAAGTAAGATTTATTTAATTTCTATCACACAGTGGATGTGAACAAAGCAAAAAGGAACCTGTTCAATGACAAAAGTAAGCTCAGCTCTTGTAGAACCAAAGGTGAAGATACCACAAGGCATAGAAGAAAACACAAACTCTCAAGAAACACAGGTAATATGTTGTCAAATGATGGTCTTAAAAAACTATAAAAGTAGTTCTATTTCTACATACAATTTTGGCCTAATTCTTACTTGTGAAAGATTTGTCTCTTAAAAACATTTGGCTTAACTTTATAAAATGGCAACCTATTGTAAATAAACTATGGTATTATCTCTTATTAAAATACAAATAATTTAATTAATTATGATTTTATTTAATAACACCTAGATTTAGCTGTTACATAATGATAATGTATTCTCTTTTTGTACACTTTTTGACACAGAAAAATCTAGAACTTTGGTACTTGGCACACCATCTCATAAGCAGACTTCTCATCGTCATTTACATAAACAAGAGCGTCGCAGGAGCCACAAAAATATTAACCCTGCTGTTCAAGTCATTGCTGAATCTCCACTTAAAGGTATTTGTTTTTGTTTTAATTTTCTTGGAAATGTAATATTTTTGTATTTGTTTACTTTGAATAATTGAAAGGTATATATTCTAAATTACTTTTTTTTGTAAATTTAGTTATAAAGTTTAAGAATTGCTCAGATTTGGTATGAATAACTCTGGATATCTTTATATATCAAGGCACATTATTGTAATATCAGTTGAGAGTAAGAAAAGAATTCACAAGTCTAATGTTTTTTTATTGATACATCATATATTACTCTTGTATGTTGTATTTGTTAGGAAATTAACAAACTTGTTATAATGAAATATATGTTATTCTTTTGCTTTTTACTTTGCTTGCTTACCAGATGATCCACTGAGTTCTACAGTTGACCAGCCAGTGAAGTATTTATTGAGGGAATCATTTTATTCATCAAACTCCCAGCCATCCCGCAACTTTACCAAGTCACTAGAGACGTCCCAGAAAGATTTTGCCTCAACATCTTACTCTCAATGTTTGTAAACTTTATTCTTATTTTTGTTAAACTACTTAGAATTCTCTGTTTCAATAGTAAACCAGTGGTTTTAAAAAATGAAGACATTTATTACTGTTTTTTTAATGTTAGTTTTCTTCTATTCCATTATGTATTATCAAACATTAGGTAGTCCAAACTGAAATTAACTATTGATTGCAGACTTCTGTAATGAGTATGTCCTGAAAGAACTTTTAATTGTAAGCTCTGTGACACAAAGTTTATAAAAATATCTCAATAAATAAAAAAGTTATGAGATTTTAAAAAAAGCAAAATTTGGTAAAAAACTGATTTTCCAAAAGTGCCATTTTTGAGAACCCATATTTTCTAAACTAAATAACATAGAAGTGTAGAAATTGGTATAGTTGCTGCAAAGTTTGTAATATATATGTCCAATTTTTTTCAGTCATCTAAAATGAGTCTTTCTAAGTTAAAAAAATAATTGAAAATGACAAGAATGCATTTTTGGTCATTTTTATTTTCATACAAATTTTTTTTTTTTTGCTTTGGACATAGAATAACTCTAAAACTGTGTTGGTAACATTAACAGGAAGAATGTGTTCATTATTGTCAAAAATCACATGAGTTAAAATATTATTTTAAAAAATGACACATTTACCTAGTGCAGGAGAAACAGGATCTAGATTTAGTGGAGTTGTAATGTAATGTAGTCTAATAAAATCTTGATGCCTACAAGCAGTAGCGTACGCAGGGGGGGAGCAGGGGGAGCGGCCGCTCCCCCTCTTGCCATTTTTAGCAAAGTGGCGCCTTTTTTGGAAACTTTTTAAACTCAAAGTTTTAAACAATTATATTTGTTAAAAAAGTATTTTTGGTCGGCACATCTATGTAAATCACAAGATTTCTTTTCATGCAGCAATTTACCATTAGTGTACTAGTCTAGTAGTGTCTACGTTTACAACACGTATTAACAGCTGCATCAGATTGCCATTCTAAAAATAACCATTACGATGCATTGCAATGTTTAAAAAATCTCTACGGCAAGAGGGGTGTTACGTTTAAGGCAACTGTATAATGTATTTGCTTACGAATAATTGAATTAGAAAATGTTATACATAAAACTTTACACATAATTACTTTATATATACTGTTTGAATCGTGTGATTAATTTTAAAAAATTACAATACAGAAACAAATACAACTGATGTGGCACCTCTATTTAAATTTACTTATGAGCAAACTGCGTAGTGGTGGGGAAATGTTGACAAGGTCAACAACGTCATCAAGATGAAGTAGTAGTATTCTTACAGTTTGGGCGATAGTGATTACGATTACAAATTAAATGAAACAGTTACAACCCATCTCCCCCATGTAAAAAAAATATTGTCATAATACCACTGCTACTTATTTAAATCTATTTCTGTAATATATATTTGTGTAATATATATTTGTGTAATACATATGTTTGTTTAGAACAGTCATCTAAAAGTCATCTGAGTTGGTTATCTCCCCCCCCCCCCCCCACACACACCTCACCACCACAATTGTGTAGAGCGACATTAATGTCACACCTAGGTATACACTGGGTTGGATAATTGACCTAAAGTGAACGGACAGTGTTGAATGAACTTCCACCCCCCCCCTCAACCCACCCCTAACTGATCTGTTAAGTACATGTAGAAAAACGCGTAATGATGTACCAAAGTACCATGCCGCCAGAAAATTTGGTTTTTAAACGTAAAACTCTGTGAATATTGTTTTTGCAATTACCAGTAAAAAGGTGTGTGATCAATACAGTGATCTAACACATACCTATCACTATGTTAAAAAATGATCTTTAGATATTTACATCTTTATTATAAGAGAGTGATTATTTTCCCTATTTCACTTGTCTTAAATAATTTCCCAGGAATTATTATGTAAGAAATTTTTTGTACAAGAATTACAAAACAGAATGTGTTACGTTCATTGTTTTTGGTATATATATATATATATATATATATATATATATATATATATATATATATATATATATATATATATATATATATAAATATATATATATTTGTTTAGATTGATACAATTTTTGTTTCGTTGGCCTACATTGTGTGTTTTTTCTTATTTCTTCAGAGTGCTACTTTCAATTTATTTTACATCATAGCGAAGTAATGACATAGGTCCTACAGCTAGTAATTATATATATATATATATATATATATATATATATATATATATATATATATATATATATATATATATATATATATATATATATATATATACTAGCGTACCCGTCCCCCGCGCGTTGCAGCGGGGATAGAAGAAAGTATGACGAAATGTATTAGAAAGATTTCACCAACGCGTTACCAATCATATGTTCTTAGACGCGTGACCGTCTTTTCTAAAAGTGAGTTATTTAAATGTAAACAAAGCCTGCGCTTAATTCATAAATATTGGGACACAGGTTTACCTACACTACCGCATGTAAACATTGAGTGTACATTAATCACTCACCGAAATAATATGTTAGAACACACTTCGGTGACCACCCATGTGTCAGAGACGTACAGGGGCGTTCTCAGCCCCCCCCCCCCGATTTCACTACCGCATAGGCGCGGCGTACGACCCCTGGCTCTTTAAAAGTAATAGGCGCCATCGTGCCAAATAGCATCCTGTTAATAATGATGCAGATTTCATCATTCGCTAAAGTGCCACAAATGAACAGGCTTTTTTTCTTTAACACGTAAAAAAGTATTTGACGTGTTTTAAACATCAGTGTGACTGATGCAATACGCTAGCGTTACTAATGGTCTATTATTAGATGCTCAATCTCAATTTCTGACTGGATTGTTTAATAGTAGATGCTTATTGCATCCTTTGCAAAGTGACGAAACTCTACAGTAGGCTCCTCATATTCAAAAAGTTATTTTTTCATCTTTGGCAAGGTGACGAAACTGTACAGAAGGATTTCCTCGCGTTACAAAGTTATTTTTAGAAGACTGTTGTAGTTTTACCGCTGAGTATAGTAGTACCCCTTACTCGTTATGCAGGACGCTCGATTAACGGGTGCCAAGTGCCAACATAGTCGCTCTAAAACTCTGGGCGCCAAACCGTGTATTGACGAAAGTTGTACCCTATATGGCGCCGCCCATAAGAAACTTTAGTTTTCTTTTTCGCAGAAATATTCTCGGGAGTATTCTCATCTACTTCCTAAAGTTTCATGGCACTCGGATGAACCGCATCCGAGTTTTATTTTTTGTATGCCGTGTATAGAGAAAAAAAAAACCCTCCCCCCCTGGGGGCGCCGCCCTTGCAATATTAAACAATATTTTTTTTTGCAGAACCCTACCATTGAGTGATCTAATCATCTCCCCAAAGTTTCATGGTAGGCTACACGGATGAACGATGTGAAACCGAAATAGACTTTTATTTTTATAAACCGTATATAGAGAAAAATTGCAGCCTCCCGTGGCGCCGCCCTTGCGAAATTAAAAAAGGATTTTTTTTTTACAGAACCCTTCCCTGAATTGTTCTAATCAACTCCTCCAAAGTCTCATGGCTTTCGGATAACGGTGTCACACCAAAATCGACTATTTTTTAAAATATACCGTATATAGAGAAAAATCGCTCCCTCCAGTGGCGCCGCCCTTGCGAAATTAAAATTTTTTTTTTTTACAGAACCTTTCCCTAGAGTGGTATAATGAACTCCCCAAAGTTTCATGCCTATCGGATGAACGGTGTCACTCCAATTCACTTTTATTATTTTTATATACCGTATATTGAGAAAAATCGGACCCTCCTGTGGCGCCGCCCTTGCGAAATTAAAAATTATGTTTTTACAGAACCCTTCCCTAGAGTGGTATAATGAACTCCCCAAAGTTTCATGCCTATCGGATGAACGGTGTCACTGCAATTCACTTTTATTATTTTTATATACCGTATATAGAGAAAAATCGGACCCTCCCGTGGCGCCGCCTTTGCGAAATTAAAAATGATTTTTTTACAGAACCCTTCCCTAGAGTGGTATAATGAACTCCCCAAAGTCTCGTGGCTATCGCATGAACGATGCCAAACCAAAATCGACTTTTATTTTTATATACGGTATATAGAGAAAAACAAATCGCGCCCTGCCGGGGCGCCACCCCTGCGAATTTGAAATTTTTTTTTTCGCAGAAACCTCCCCAGGAATATTCTCAACAACTTCCCAAAGTTTCACGGCGATGTGATGAGAGGTGTAGTAATGCATAAAGGACAGACAAACAAACAAACACACACACATACATTGCTTTATATATATATATATATATATATATATATATATATATATATATATATATATATATATATATATATATATATAATACACGTATATAGTACATGTTAAAAATTCGGCGCCTTTTTTTTCTCTTTTCGCTCCCCCTACAACGAAAACCTGGATACGCCTCTGCCTACAAGTGATGCAGCAGTTGATGCCACATGCTTTTTTTTTTTCAAACCTATCCGGTTTGAGGGAACAGTTTTTAAAACTACAAAGCCACATCTTTGTATGTCTTGTTTCTCTCAACCTTGATCTTGTGGAGCATCAAGAGTAAGCGATATGTTTTGGTAACGGGTGGGGGGGGGGGGGGGTGGTTGGCCATCTTCCCTTCCCTTGTAAGGTAAGATCTGGATAGACCATCATAAATGTCTCCAGCTGTGGAATAAATAATTGATTTAGTGATTAATTAAATATAATTAAATTTACTTCTAGCCTATTGTGTAGGCCACTATTTGTCCTATAACTATAACTGGAAACGTATGAAAAAGCCTGAAAACACCTTTTTGTTAAAAGTAATTTATACTTTATAGTAAATTCTTAATAGTAGTAGTAGGTCTACTGAATGAAATATTTGTTGCTTGTGCCACGCTGGTTGAGATATCCAATGATGAAGATGCCATACTGTGGTTCTCAACATCCTATAGAACAACTTAACTGTTCTTCATTGTTACTATATGCATACAAAATAAATAATGAGAAACACTACTAGTACTTCTGACACTTACAACTAATATAACATTTAAAACTAAGTCACAACATGTACAATCTTAATAAATTGCACCACCATCTAAAAATTGATCTGGTACATTTTATTAAGGAGACTGGCGCAGACCATTTCACATTATTCAGCAGGGGAATCAGAATCAGAGTGCACAACAGAAAATAAAAAATCAATTATATTAGTTCTTAAAAATTTAGTGTCTTTAGTTTTAAATAAATTGATAAAAATCTTTTTACAAAAATAGTTATTATAATTATAAATTTCTTTTGTGATTCATTAATATTTTATAAGTGTTTAACCTTTGTTCCCTGTAAATAATTGAGTTCGTCCACATAGTAACCAGGATTGTCTGGTGGCCATTTTGAATTTGTCGTTTCATAATTTTGACGTGATAGTCCAGATAAACACCAGTAATACGACCCTATCATTAATCCCATTCGATAGATTTTAAAGAATTAGTAAACACTAGCATCTAATAGTTAAGTGCATCCATATTTTAAGTCCCTAGAATGTCCTGAATTAAATAGCTTCACGTCTGATCACACCATGTGTACAAGCGTAGTTCACACGCTAAAACCGTGGACTAGTAGCGTTCAAATTTACGTGAATAACTTGTACTAATTAACCCAAACTGACATTCAAACTTAAAATTCATTTTTAAAATGGAAATGAAACTTTAAAAATGGTACTTACAACTTGTCTGAAGGCTCTAGCAAGGGTAAAATCCATTTAGCATCATCGGTCGTCAACCTTTAAAACCGTTCGGCGAGTTACTCACTCGGGGGTGAAAGTCAACTCGAGGGTTATATGCTTATTAACGGCACAGCTTCGCAACCGTAAATAAGAAATACGTGAATTTACAACACAAAGTAGTTATAAAAGTGAACTTTACATCGGTGTAAAAATTGAAACAGAATTAGTTTGTTTTCGTGTATCTATCGCCATTTAAAGTTTAAAAACTGATTTTGTAAAATGAAATAAACAAGCTATTTTTTTCAATTTGTACATCAAACGATAGGCTAGAATTTGCTCTTTAAAATGCTATTAAGATTATGCTTCTACTATGCTTAGTCGCGAAGCCGCGACCAAATGAAACAGTGTGGGGTCGATCTGTACTCGCAAAACAGTGAAATTTGTTGACGTAACTGATACTTTTCAAACAAATATAAAACACATTCAAACATGGGTTACATATATAAAAATACCAGATTTCCGCAGATAAAGACTTAAACTTTATTGACATATAATTTTTATTCTTATAGCACAATTAGAAGTAGTGAAATTTTTTTTTTGAAAACCGCAAAAAAATGACCCCAAAACGCACTTTTTCGCCAGTTTGGACTACCTACAAACATGTTGTAAGTAAATAAAACTTATTTTTTGCTTCCCTCAGTATCTTCAGAATCTTGTAACCAGCAAAACTCCCTATACTTAATGTTCGAAAAAATTGTGCTATGCATCAGACAGTACTACATAAGAAAATTTTTTTTGTTTGAGTGTTAATGATTGAATGAAAACCAAGCTAAATTTTTATGAGCAATGTGACACCATAAAAATGTATTTAGCTAAACAAAATATATTTTATTAATATAACTTTTGTTTGTATTACAGCTCAAACACTGCACAAGACAAGGTCTCAAGGTACTTTAGCCAGTGCAGTTCGAGGAGAATCTCCAATTTTGTCCCCAAGAAGCCGTCTTGTCAAATCTTTAATTTCCACACCTTCCCCTACTCCAAAGTTAAAAAAGAAGCACAAACACCTGAGAAAATCTCCAAGGAAATCTGTTAAAAAACTGGAATTCAAAGATGGCTTTAAAAAGTCTGATAATGTCAAACTAATTTTTGATGGAGAAAATGCCAATGATTTTAACATTTTTGCAAGCCCGTCTAAAGGTTTTAAGACTCCTGAGAAAAACAAATCTCACAGATCTCTAGTCTGGGATACTTCATCTTGTCCTACCTTAGCTGTCACTCCCATCAAAGGAAAAAACAATAAAGGGGCATCACCCAAAATTGGATTTAAAAATTTAATTTCTCAAACTGAACCACTAGTGCATAGCTTTATTGCTATTGAGAAAGAAGCAGAAAATAAAACTCCAGTCAAGCAAAGATCAAGTTTATTTATCAATAATACACCAGAGAAAATCTCTCCGGTTTTATCCATATTTACCTCCCCTGACAGAGCTTCTAGACTTCGTTCTTCTTTCTTAGCTAAAAGTCCAAAGAAAGTCACAGCTAGTTTATTTAGTTCTAAAGAGAGCAGTTCCATAACTAATGATAAAGTTTTGACATTTTCATCAAAGCACATTCCATCCTCAAATGAAACTTGTGTTGGAACTCCCATCAAATGTTCTTCAGAAAAAAATACTTTTTCAACTCCGAAAAAATTATTTTTGGCCGAATCAAAATTGTATTCAACACCTGGTAAAACCTCCACTCCCGGCAAAGTTACATTTTCTGAACGCTGCACCGTTTCATCCCTGTCTGTCATAAACCCTCCATCAGGGGAAAAAAGTACACCTATCAAGTCTATCCTGAAAGGTTCCCCCAATATTAAAGTTGTGCGTAGAGTAGAACTGCAGTCTGTAGTAGGACCCAGCCCCAGAACTCTAGACAGTAAGTTTGGACAATTTTCTGAAAGGAATAAATGTCCTCCTCAGTCTGAGATGTCTGCAAACAAAACAAGTGCAGTTGATTCTCAAGATTCAAGGAACACATCAACTAGTGGTGTAACCATATGTACTACCCCTACCTCTAGCAATAAAATGGATGCAATCAACCAATGGGCCAGAAGGAAAAAATGCAGTCCCAAGCACACTTCTCCCTCAGTGTCCCCAGCCTCAGGTTGTAAAGGGTTAAAGAAAACTATCCTTGATGCTGCTGAAACTGTGGAGCATGAAAGTGGTGTCATCAATAAGGAAACAGACAGTCAGTCAGGGCTCAATGGTGTAGAGCAGTCATCACATTTTATCAGAAAAAGAAGGCTGTTCTGCGTTGAAGATACAACATTGACTGAATCACCGAGTAAAAAGATGAGAAAAAATGTTTCTGTTGCCAGGTCTGATACCCTTGTATTTGGCCCAGCCAACAGTCCAGAGATAGTCCCATGGGAAAGGGAAGATACATTTTATGACATGAAGTGTTTGCCCACGTCTTCTGTTTTTTCTCAGTCCAGTCAAAGCACTGTCTCTAACCTTTCGTTGTCGCAGACATTGTCTTTGATGTCCCCTGTGAAGAGAGTCACCAGAAACACGTCCAGTATTTTTGGTGAAAGCAGCCAGGGGTTCCACATGACCAGTGACAACTCGCATTCATTAAAAAGTGGCCAGGCTTGTGTGGAGGATCATGCCTCGCCACTGAAACATGCCTCGTCACTGACACATCATGCCTCGCCACTGACACATCATGCCTCGCCACTGACACATGCCTCGCCACTGACACATCATGCAACATCTGCCACCACACAGGACAACGGTTCACCTCTTAAAACTGGCTTAGCATTGACCAGTCCCAACAAAAAACAGTATTCTCCTGCACTGTCGGCAAGTGGTCTCATGCATTTAATCCAGTCACCTTTACTCTCTCCCAAATCAAAACGAAACAGATCTCGTGATAAGTCACCCAAGGCCAGAAAATGTTTAAATAGCTAACATTTTTGTTTTTTCAACAAATTATGAAGTGTATTTTACTTTTTCAATTAAATTTTTTTTTATGACCATTATGAAATTAGTTACAAATGTATGGTAGACTTTCTTAAAAAGCATTGTTTAAAAAAATGAATTTATTTATGGAAGTGTAGTAATTTATTTACAACTGTTTGGCAATAGTATTGTTATATCAACTGCTACTTTTAATGTAACTTTAGTCAAGAATTATTTTATCATAATTTTCTTGGTCTGGAAATCCATAAACTTTTTATTTAGCTTTCACTTATGCTAGATGAAAATTACCTTTTGATGTGTAAGCTGTATTTCAAAGGAATCAATTTCTACTTGATTAATCTTAGAAACCTTTTCTAATCTTATTCCATTTTGTTTCCTAGACTTCAGTGTTCCTCCTCTGATTTGTTTTGTTTTCTTGTATCTCTATAACCAAAATGGTTTAATTTTTAATTGATGGTGTTGACATTGTATGTAGAAATATCAATGTATCAATAACCATAAGGGTTTGTCCATAAATGACTGCACACTTTAAGAAGGGTGGGTTTAGAAAGGGGGAGGGAGGGCAGTTGTGAAAGTGCTTACACTTTTGCATTTTAAAACATCATGTTAGAAACTTCAGTTTTTGCTGTTACTTTGGGTATTAGAAAACTTGATTTTTTTTTGTAAATTGTAAATGAACTTTAATAAAATGCTCAATGTTGACAAAGCTCAGATAATATTTTAGAAAGAATTTGATGTTTTGAAAATCGAAAACTTTAATTTTGAAAAGGTTGTATGCTGAGGTGTGATGTAATTATTTGGGTGGGGGCATGTGTATTTATTTCTGCATTTTTGTCTGTGTAACTTGGAAGAACCATTCATCAATTTTTAAGGGCCAATTAGCTGTGATATAACTTGTAAATGTTTAAAAAAACTTATTTTTAAATGCTACTTCAGGGAAGTACAGAAAAGCATAAATCAGATCTGTAGCATCACTTTTTTAAAGGAACTCCTACTTTTCCTCTCGTGGAATATTTTCCCCCTACAAATAAAAGAAGATTTAAAAATACCTTTCAATTTATAAAGACACTATTTTTCTAAAATTTCCTGGGAATATGTTAATTTTTTGTGAGAGAAACATGGGATCACTATGTTTCTTACAAGGGAAAATTTTTTCTTTTTTGATCATTTTTATTCCTGTATAAATATGTTAGTATTTAATGAACTTTCTAACAATGCTAAAATGTACAGTTTAGAAATTTTCTTTTTCATCACTTGCATTTATATTTAATTTATTTAACTGGGTCCACTCAATTCAATTTTTTATTGTTTACTTGCAATCACAAACAGATTACCATATGACATTTTTCCTTGTAGACATTTTACCCTGAGAGCTACATTTGTTTGTTCCTGTTGATGTGACATTGTAAAAAAGAAAATCAAATTCTTACTGCTGTACAGTTATGACATTTATTTATTGATTTTAACTTTGAATTGTAGATGTTATTTGTAATTTCTTAAACCAGCTGTTTAGAATAGTTAATACTTATAATATATGCACGTATTGCTGACATGGACTAATAAGTCTTGTTTAGTTTTAAATAGGCAATTTATTTTAAGTATTTTGAAATTAATAATATTACTAAAGAATGTTTTACTGTAATAAACTTGAACTGTTTTAAAATGTGTAGATCTAGTACTTTTTAAAATTTATTGGATAGTATGATTTAATTTATATTTAAACATAGATCTTTGCACATTTGCATTATATAGTAATTTATTCTAGTTTACTAATTCAGTCAAATGAATCTCTTGAATCTCTATTTGGAAGGCTTAGAATAAAGATTCTGTTGAATGAAGATTTAAAGAAAAAAAAAGTGAAAATAGAAAACAAGTAATATTTGGACATGGCTTTTATTCTCAGACTTTGCTGTCTTACAGTTATGTACACTCTCACAGCCTTTGATCACAGATGAAGAAAAAATGTCAACATTCACATGAAGAGGAGAAATATCACAAGAGAAAAGTAAATTCTGGATAAAAATTGCTACATTAATCAAAATTAGAAAATATTAATCTTGGTAGCATATAATAATATTAGCATATTATGACAGAAGCATACACAAATTTGTAATTAAAAAATCTATTGATGTTTCTACAGTCAAAAAGGGCACTAAACTCTATATTTGTATCTGTCAATTACTTAACTGGATATGTACATCACTGCAGGGGGAATAACTTATCTGTATCTGAGATTTGAGGGGGATAACTCCTCATTTACAGTACAAAACCCTTTTCTTGATATCAAGCATCTACTCTGATACTATTGAGCAACAGGAAAAAAATACACTAGGCATGTTACATTAGTTGATCTACATAGAAACACATGAGTATTTATTTACACCTGAAGAAATGCTGCTTTACAAAAATATTAAATTAAAATAATACCTGTACTGTGTTACACTGCATTTACACTTGAGACATGTATTATACATGTCCAAAAAAAAATCACAGCAAGTTAGTATACATATTGATTGTGTATAACAACTTGCCCATTTTTTTTTCCCTAGACATGTACAATATACATGTAGCAAATGTAAACACAGTGTTAGGATAAAATGCACAGATGAAGAAATGTTTCAATTCAATAAAATAAAGTTTTAATTTTGAACCATTTTTTTTATTAGTTATTTGGTCCTGTATCATTTGTTTTTGCTAAAACCAAATTTTAAAAAAATCAGAATTTGAAGATAAATAACAAAACAAAACCAAACTAAACAAGGTTGCAACATATAAACAATTATTATTTTCTAAAAAAGGTTTTACAGTACAAACCTTATGTATAAGAAATAATCCCCTTTAAAATTAAGTACATTTCATCATTTTAAATAAATACAAATTAGGGCTTATATCTATTTCTGATAATTCAGAATATGACATTTTAAACATTTGGCTTGATTTAGTAATAAAAATAGGTAAAAGTAAATACCTTATAAAAACATAGTTAATTGAAATGAGGTATTTAGACAAAATCAGACAGTGCATAGATCAAACTTGAAATATTTACAAACTGAATGTATTTTTTATGAGTAGCCTACCTGGTACATGTTTTATTCAAAATTTGTAATTTATTAACTTTTTGTAATTGTTATCTCACATAAAAATAACTTTCTATACTTACTGGTGATTTACACAAAATAAACAAGGCAAACAAAGATATGGACTAAAAAAAAAAACTAGGGTCAACTTAAAATTTTATAAACTATTACTTAATTCCATATGAGGCCTAATTATCATGACTGTAAAGTTCTATTTTTATATGTATCATGTTCTCTAACAACACGTTTACACTTACAACATCTAGAACATACATGTCTAAGAAAAAACCTGCAACAAGTAAGTATACACATTCCATATATAATAAACTTGTCACAGGCTTTTTTGTTAGACATGTAAAGTAGTCCTATATATGCTGTAAGTCTAAAAGCTGTGTAAGTAAACATCTTTCAGGGCAGTAGTTTTGCTAGGTTAAAAAAAAACCAACAGAATGAATGAATGTGATTTAAATGAGGCTTTTGATTCATATGCTTATTTACAGTATTTAAAAGGCAGTTGTCATGCTAAAATTAAATCACCAGATCATAATAAAATTGCAGTAGCGGAAATTCAGCTTAGTTAAAGCAAAGGAATGTCATAAGATCAGTCATAAGATCAGAAACACATTTTTGAAATAGCAAAGTTATTAAAATGACAGGTACATAATTAACAGTCTTGGATATCCAATACAATTTACTCAGCCCATAGAAATGTTTTAATTAGCACAATTATGTGATGTGTTGTTCAGATGTATGTACAAGTTTCAATTGTCTATATAATTGCATTAAACACATTTCTTGTACACTTCAAGGTGAAACAGTCTTACCATAAAGCACATCTTTTAGAATCCAGTCATATCTCAAAAAATATCATTAACATATAGGCTTGCCTTAGTTAAAAAAAATTTCTTACATATCATAGTGATGTCACCTTACCACATACCTATTAAAAATGCCTTTACCAAATACCTGTTATAGAAATGTCACCTAATCAAATAACATAAATGTATAAATGTCATGTACACTCACTTATAAGAATGTTTTCTTAAATACTTTATACAAACAGGTAAAGTGAGTATTTAAACTTTAGCACACTGTTCTCTATAAAAGACTAAAAAATTAACATTTAAAAAAGAAGAATAGTAAAAATAACAAGTGTGAATAAAGATGTTTAACAATGACTCCATAGAAATGTAAAAGTTTGGCCATTTGAATTTATTTTATTCTTGGACTCAGCAGATAATATGTTAATCACTTATTGAGCTGTCAATTAAAACTTTAACATAACCTTCTCAGTTTTTTATCTTCTGTCATTGATTTAACTCCAATGAAAATATCATTATTTTAAAATTGATATACCTTTGCTATGGCAGTAATTCATTTTGATTTAATGACAAATGACTTGTTTCTTTAAATAGATTTTTGTATTCATTTTACTTAAAACAATTGAATAAATCCACAAGTAGAATTGAAAGTCCAATGTATTTCTCATGATCCACATGGAATTTTAATTTTATACTTTTGAAGTCAACTGTCATTGGCAAGAAAACAAAACACTCTCACTGGGAACCCATGATTTGCATAGACCAATTAGATAAAAACTAGGATTTTTACTTGCTAGGATACTGAACACAAAGTAGGTGAACAAGGTTTCTCTGATTGGAGGTTCACTTTTCTTCGCACACTTTCTGTAAATATATTCAACTTCTTGTAAGACGATAATTCCATTTAATTGAAATCTTTATTTTGTATGCATACATTTTTCAATTATTCAAAGTTTAATTAATAACTGTAAATCCTCATATCACTCTAGTAAAAAATTGTAAATGCAAAAAATTTAACCCTTAGTTTTTCTGTGGAGTGAAAATATCTTTGTAATATTTCTTTCATTAAAATTTATGGACTGAGTATAATACATAAAGATTACATTTCATCTGAAATCTTTTAAAGAACGAGACTGATATAATCGATGGAGGATTAATTACGTAATAATTTACCTGCCAGCTGTTTCTTATCAATTGCAACCAAAGCTTCAAAAAGCAACTTTAGAACATTTTCATCTTTTCTCACCCCATGGAGCCAAATGTTTAATAATCTGAAGCTATGCTCTTTATAACTAGTGGCACCTGTAAGCATTGATAATGTCTATATTAATGTTTTAATAGAAAAATAATATTTTACACAATAAAAATTGATAATTCATGCTCATAGCCTATCTTTTCTATAAAAAATGTATAAAATAAATAAAAGGATAATTTCAATAATTATCTAAAAATATTCATCTTTATACGTATGTGAAGAAAAATAATTTAAAAGTTATACTTTTTAATCTGATGAAGACCTATGGTCCAATTTCTGTTTTAAATTATTTTTCTTCACATACGCATAAAGATGAATATTTTTAGATAATTATACATAAAAAGTTATATTTTTTAATCTGATGAAGACCTATGGTCCAATTTCTGTTTTTATGCATGTGTTATAAGAAAATTGTTTTAATAGCTTAGAATTATGTATGTGTTATGAGAAAATTGTTTTAATAGCTTAGAATTTCCTTATGTTTAAGAATTTAACATTGAAGATTTAAGGCTCAGCTGAACAGTTAAATTTTACCTGTGTATTCCTGTTCAATAGCTTTGACATGTTCCGTAGTAAAGTGCCAGTGGTAGGCTAATTTTTTCCAGTCTGTTGGTTTGAGTTGTTTTGTTGATAATTTCCACAAGACATCTTTCATTTGAGCTGCGTGTGGATGTTGGGGTTTCCTGAGGTAACTGTCTGGATCAACATAGCCGACATCTTTATCATGATATTCCTAAAACAGATTTTTAAAAATTTACATTTAAAAGGGAGAAATACTAAAAATAACAACTGTAAATAATGGGTCTGGATCAACATAGCCTACATCTTTATCATGATATTCCTGAAACAGATTTTTAAAAAATTAAAATTTAAAAAGGAGAAATAGTAAAAATAACAACTGTGAATAATTTGTCTGGATCAGTGGTACAGCCTATTGCAATGTAAAAATACTCAAAAGTTAAAAATTTGTTAAGTTAATTTTTAAAAATGGAAAATATTTGATAAAATACTATGATTGATACTGTACACCAATTTTTTAAAAAGTTTTTATTAATAATACTATATTTGAATTAAAAAAAACAACATTTTTGCAACTTCTGTTAGCGAACTTTCTACTATCTACTGCAATATTTTGCCGAAATTACTGTTTATATCCATATATCATGCATGGGTAGACTGGTTAATTTTTGTAAAAAAAAATATTGTTTGAATTGACATATCAATTATGGCTAAAACACTCATGATTCAGTAGATTATCTTATAAGATTGTTTTCTCTCACCCTAGTATTAGCGTAGTATCTCTCAGCTTTTATTAGCATGTCAACAACTGACACGTAATTCCCTCTAGCTGCAAGCTGCAGGGCACTTTTTCCTGACTGTTGAAGGAGTCCAGAAAGATCATATTAATTTACACACAATTTATAAAAATTTTAAGATACTTGGAAAATTACAGAAAATAAAAGCAATTAACGTGAAGTCTAGCTCTACAACCTTTAAAATAATTAACAATTTCAAGTTACTATCTATAATAATCTATTCAAATTTATCCTTACAACTTTTAGTATAAACAGATTGAAGTAAGTTGAATGTTAACATGTAAATTAAAAATAAAACTTTGATAATATACATGGTAATTTTAACACTCTTATGTATAATAAAACAATAAACATGGCAGTAAATTGAGAAAAAAATAAATTTTAAATTCAAAATTAATTATTTAATCAATTAAGAAAAAATATACAGCTTAAAAATGCATACCTTTTCTCTTGTATCAAGACTAGCTCCACCTGCTAATAAGACTTGCACTACTTCCAAATGACCACTTTCTACAGCAATATGCAATGGTGTCTGCATTCTCTGTGAAAAAAATAAACCAATCACTTCTTGAGCTTGATGAGAAGAGGATTTTTTATTATATTTTTAAAGTCAAATTTGATGACAAAAACTAATAAACTTCTATTGATCATAAATCATCCAGACATGAAATGTGTGGTTTTTATTGACAACAATCTTGTAAATGCTCGGTCCCTGTAGAAAGAAGTTTTTTCCAAGAAATGTAACTTTATACTTAGTTGAGAAACACCATTATGTGAATGTGATGACCATTATTAGAAAAAATTAAAAATTAGACATGGGAGGCAATACGAGCCAGTAAAACAAAGTTTCAACAGAAATAGACTCACACTGTTTGGCAAATCTAATTCACATTTGGCATCAACTAAAACCCTGGCCACTTCCTTATGATTTCCATTTGCTGCTAAGTGGAGAGCTGTGTTTCCTTGCTAGCAAAGAAGAAACAGGTAAATAGCATCTAAGGAATGCCATGCAGTAGAAATTTTAAAACACATTGAAGTGCTCATAACTATCCTTAAGAAATAGGTGCATAGTTATTTTTTTGTTTGGTGAAAATTTAAAAGAAGATGATTGAACAGGTGATATAAAATTTTGTTAGTAAAAAACAACAATTTAAATAAAAGGGTTGTATTCTCCAATAGGATATTTTCCAGGAATGTAGAGTTGAAACCATATGTGACTTACATATCCAGACTTCTCCAACACACATAATTACATTTAAAATGATAATTTAAAATATGTGATGAAATTTTAATAAAATAATTAAGGTAATAAATTATAGATGTGAGTCAATTTTACTGTAAGCATTCCATTAACAATGAAAACGTTTCACTCTTATCAATTGTTATTTATGATATTTTTAGTAAATGATATACCGTGATAATAAACTACATCTCAACAGTAATAATGATAAGCAAATACAAAGAAAAAAATTCAGTAGAATAAACATAATTTTTTCAAAATTGAGTTGAATCTACTGTTCCTCAAATAAAAGAGATATTTTAAAATAGAGTAAATAAAGAAAAATAGACTTGGCAAAAAAATGTTTTAAGTTTTGTGCAGCATAGAAAAATGAATAACAAAAACATAATTGGATATACTTTAAAGCTTTTAAAGAAAACATATGTATTAAAAGTTTATATAATAAAATAAAAATTGTTTTACAATATTTACTTTGGTTTTTTAAAAAACTGCAAATATGGCTGATTTTAAAAATGTTAACATCTGTAGAATTTTACAATTTTCTATTGCATATAATACTATATCTAAGATGTTACACAGATATATTCTAAGATATTACAAGAAAAAAATCATCTGTATCATAATACAGATTCAACTAAAAATATAGTTTATATAGTTGCAGTCAAATTTTTACTATACTTACATGATTTTGAGCATTTGTATTGCAGCCATATTTGACCAAACTCCTACAGACTTCTACCCGCCCTTCAGCTGCTGCCAAGTGAAGAGGAGTTATTTCTTTCTGATAACATAACAACATACAATCAATGAGGTTATTTATTTCTGATAACATAACAACAACATACAATCAATGAGGTTATTTCTTTCTGATAACATAACAACAACATACAATCAATGAGGTTATTTCTTTCTGATAACATAACAAAAACATATAGTCAATGAGTTTATTTCTTTCTGATAACATAACAACATCATACAATCAATGAGGTTATTTCTTTCTGATAACATAACAAAAACACACAATCAATGAGGTTATTTCTTTCTGATAACATACAATCAATGAGGTTATTTCTTTCTGATAACATAGCAACAACATACAATCAATGAGGTTGTTTCTTTCTGATAACATAACAACAACATACAATCAATAAGGCTATTCCATTCTAATTAAATAGACAATGATATTAAATCAATGGTGTTATTTTTTAAAGTGTAAAAATACCATAAAATACAATCAAATATTTTTTTCTGCTTGAATGATGTAGTCAGAAGTGTTTTTTTAAAGAAAATAATCATATTGGAAAATTATTATTATTATGTAAAAAAAAAACATTAAAGAAAAATTAGCAGTTTTTCTCTCAGTATCAGAATCTTATAGAAATGATAAAAACATCCTTCTTGAACAATCATCTTTAAGTCTGTCAATACCTACCACTGTTTCAGAATTAGGATTAGCTGTATAATCTAAAAGAAGGTCGACACATTCTTTGTGACCTGCTTCTGATGCCAAGTGCAAAGCAGTTTTACCCTCCTGAAATTTCAAAACATGGTGTTTGATGTAATGAACATGGTTTTTAATAAAAGTTAATGAAAGTTAAGTGGTCATTAAAAAATTGAAATTTAATAGTAACAGTTATGAGAAAAAAGGAGCGCTAAAATTATATGTTATAAGGTTTCTTAATAAAGATAATTGAAATAATTAATTGTGGTTCATCAAGCAGTAAACATTTCATTATATATTATTTTATTATATAAATTTAAATTAAATCTGTTGCTACACTGACTTTGTGCTATTTGCTCTTTTATTTTATTACCCAACATTAAATGTTTTAAAATAGTCACTGAAGTGAGTTACAAATAAAATGGTATTACAAAATCCAGTGTTGCAACAAAAGTTAAAGCTGGCATAATGAAACACTTCCTCACCACATCTCTGTCATCCACCTCCACACCCTGCAGCAACAAGGCCTTCAGTGCATCAATGTGGCCATGTTTTGCTGCCAGATGTACAGCAGTCATCCCTGCCTGAGAGAAAAATTTAATTGTTGGAAAATTAAATTGAGAAGTATGACTTAAGCTAATGCACTAATTCAGTTACAAATTGGTTTGATTAATTAAACAAATGTGACAACAAGTTGTGCAAAATAATAGGCAAAAAAATAGACATTTAGTATAATTGCACAGTCTGAAATAAAAATTAATTCCATACTAAATTGTTAATCACACAAATGTAAATGTAATTAGAATGCTATATATATATAGGCATATATATATATAGGCATATATATATATATAGGCATATATATATATATAGGCATATATATATATATAGGCATATATATATATATAGGCATATATATATATATAGGCATATATATATGTATATATATATATATATATATATATATATATATATATATATATATATATATATATATATATATATATATATATATATTTATAGCAGAATTTATTCAAAGCGAAAATGCAAAACATAAAAATTTGATTAAGATATAATAATCACGAGGGCCTGACCATAGGTATTTTAAAATTTTACATGCATCGCAAAACACAAATTCCTTTAGATCTATACCTAGTCCTGTGAGTTTTTTAACAACCATTTCCACTGTATGGAAATATATTTATATACATATATATGTGTGTATATATACTTATATATACACTTATATATATCTATATATCTATATATATATATATAGCCTATATCTATATATATAAATATATATGTGTGTGTGTGTGTGTTGGGCCCTATAGATCTATAATAGATCGAACAATGCTTTCTAGCTTGTAAGCAGCACATTGTAGTTTCCATAGCTGTTTGCTGTCACATCGTCAGCTAACGTTACATCGTCCCAAGTAACCGTTCATTCAATTATTTATCATTCAATTTATTTACAACCGGTAACAATGTTATCCTAGGCCTAATTGATTTTATTCAACCAGCCATTGCACTTCATATCCACCGTGTTTCAAAAGACCTCAGCATACCGGGCTTTTCGTTTAAATTAAATAAAGCCTAAGACAATTTTGAGGAAAAAAAAGTGCTCGACAAATTTTTCCTGACATGACAGATCAGTCCACGTTAATCTCTTTGTTATCTCCGTTTTGCCATCTCCCCCCCCCCTCTTCTCTCAACCCACTAACGTAATTGGAGGGATAATTTATTGTTGATAATTGGGTAATTATTGTTGGAAACAACCCACCGTCGTATTGTTATCAAGAATTCACAACTATGCCAAGTTCAACGCTATGATGTTCTGGCAGAAATGGAAAAATCGATCGCCTCATTCGACAAACTTTCAGGAGAAAAAAAACACATTCAAAAGGCTTGCGATTTTTAAATTAATAATAAAAAAAAATAACGTGTGTGAGAAAATCTCTGGATTTTCGACTTTGAAATCAAGTCTCTTCAATTACGTTCGATTTTTGCCTTGCTTGAAGGGTCAGACAAGGAAGTTTAAAAAAAACAAAAACTTAATTCTTTTACACGTTATTTTACATGGGTTATCAGACTTTAACTTAACAATATATACGATTAGAATTCGTCTTAAAATTATCATTCTTGTAGAGGATGGTTTATAAGGTAGATTGGGGTGGACTAAACAGTACATGTGGTAGAGTGGGATGGACTAAACAGTACATGTTGTAGAGTGGGACTAAACCGAACAAATGTAAAACATACAGGATTTTGTCCGATGGCATTGCACAAATAAATGTTCATAGGATAGACAGGACACAAGGAAATCAAAGACTCCTCTACCCCCACCCCCACCATATTGGCCTACATGAGACTCCCACTTCCCATTGATCTCACTCTACTGTCATCACCAGTGGTGTTTCTCCCAGACTTTTTTCTCTTGGGGGGAAGGGTGGGGAGTGGGGGAGGAGTGGGGAAGAGGGGCACTTGATATTTTCGGGGGGGGGGGGGGGGTAAAGAATATATTTTCTATATACATTTCCATTTCGTTCGGGGGGGGGGGGGGTAGACTTTCTTCGGATATATTCGAATATTATATTCAAATATAAAAAATATTAGTGTCTAAATCAAATAAAAAATTATAACCTCACAAACAAACAAACAGCAGCCGTGACAACAACAGCACGCAGCTGGTACCAAAATGATACAAATGACAGTATTCACTTTTAAAAAGTTACATCACTTTTACTCTTCCCTGGCCTACACTTCATCCAATAACGTTATCAATGTTAACAATAACAACTTGACCAGTGGGCAAAAACTTGACTTAAACATGTTGTATGTAAACATGGTCTATGTAAACATGATCTATGTAAACGTAACCTATGTAAACATGGTTTATTTAAACATGACCTAAGTAAACATGTTCTATGTCAACATGGTCTATTCTATTTAAACATGATCTATTGTAGGCCTACAAAACCTTTCATTATCTGACCATAATTTTTGTTTTATTCATTTTTGAATTTTTAAAGAAAAAAAATATATCGTTTTTGTTTTAAAATCGACCGACAAAAAACAAACTTAAAAGCTGATAAGAATTTTAAAATTTCTTACTCACGGCATATAGGGAGAAGGTGCACCCTTTAAGTAGATTGGTAGCAAGTTGTTCAAGCATTCAGCATCTTTACCAGATCTTAATGATAACCAAGGAATAGCTAGCAGGGGCCATGTAATATGCATGAATTATTTCCCCTGAGGGTATATTATGTCTACTACTCCACTCCGGCGTTCTCCGACCTCACAGTTCATCGGTAAGAAAACGCCAATGAGAAAGTATGGCGGTGGTCCAGGGCTATTTTAAGTTTGCCAGATGGGAGGTTGGCCTGGTACCACAGAGAGAAGATTCAATGAGGTGTGTAGAGCATTAGTGGGGTCGTAGTTGATGTGGTCGAGATGTTCGCAAGGGAGGGTATGACCCACTGAGATATCACCCTGGGTTACGTATGGGAAGATATGATCCGTGCTTACACACCAAGATATGACCCGGGCTTCCATACTGTTGTTGTTCTTTTAACGGAGTACTAATTGTGGCCGTTAATTGAACCGGAGCCCTAATTACGTTGATGTCCGTTGTGTCAAATTGTCAGTTGGGTCGGGGCCCTCGTAATGTTGATGTTGGCCCAATGGGACGAGCCTTACTGTCACCACTCCTAGTCTCATCATCACCCTATTCAACATGAATACATTTAGCTGGTGAAGACTGAATAGAGGTCCTGTTTAACGCTGTTGTTTATTGTACTTGGATTTATCTATAATTATGACTACGTTTATACAGGCACTGGTAATAAAACGGGACAAATGAAAACGAAAACGAGCATTGTATTATTTTATATTTGCAATGAAAAACAACTCTAATTTAAAAAAAGTTCCATTCCAATAACTGAAGGTGCTAAGTTATTTAACTACTTATTACTGGACCTAATACTTAAAATGTTGAGAGTTATCATATATGTCTGTTCGCATGGATTCACTGGATAAGTGTAAGAATCCTCACAATTACGTTTGTTTATTTTACATTTGTTATTTTAAAACAAAAAAAAAACAAAAACATGCCTTTCCCGTTTGAAAAAAACAACGAGAAATGGCCAGGGCGGTTCCTAGCCGGAACTGCTAGTTTATTATTTTAAGAAAAACCGTGAAAAAAAAACAAACCCTAGTACGGTATTCTACTAACACTTGGCTTTACAAGCAGCATGTAACCCTACACAATGCGGATGCTATGGGAATATTTGTAACAATTGAACTACGAGGTCGATAATTTAATTCACAGTTTGTGATCAGAATGTCATTACATTATACACATCAGTATGCGTTTGCCAGCTTGGCTTGCCGATAAAAATAATCGTTCGGCAACAGAAGCACACGGTGCTTATATATATATATATATATATATATATATATATATATATATATATATATATATATATATATATATATATATATATATATATAAATATATATATTATATATATATGTATATATATAAATATATATATTATATATATATGTATATATATATATATATATATATATATATATATATATATATATATATATATATATATATATATATATATATATATATATATATATATATATATATATATATATATATATATATATATACGTACACTATTTTATATAGAGAGCAAGCATTAAATATTGACATCATCAGCGTGTTATCTATCTAACGACAAAATAAATCAGAGATATAGACAAACAAATGACATAGTTAATAGCTCCACATTCATAGGTCTACACTATACAGTGATCCCAAGAACACATTCACGTAAGTCAAAAAACGACAACATGCAACGTGAAGCAAAAGATGCAACGATTACACGGCTGATTTTAAAAGTGTATCGAATTATCGAGTCCAATACTGCGTAATAGGGTCAAAAGAAAATATTAACATTTTGTTTGGGCAATTACATTTTTTTAAAAACTAAAAAGACTTATTTAAAAAAAAAAATTTCAAGTGACAGAATTACAAACGAGTGCAGATATAAGCAGAGAAGGTGCATTCGGCGTCATCCATAAAACGTCACAAACTTAGGGATAGGGAGGGGTTTGGAATTTGGTGACGATGTGTGATGGGGGAGGTCCAGAATGTGTGACGTCACATTTTTGCATTAAAAAAAAATGTAGAAACAGAATTTTAGCCGTTATTTCATGTGTTAGAAAACTATGTCAGTTTGTAATGGAAATTGATTCATATACTCTTAACTGAGCTCAGTAAATATTTTAAAACAAAATCGATGTTTAAAAAGATACAACTGCCATTTTGAGGAGCGCTGTAGGCTGCGATGTGACGTCATTTGGGGGGGGGGTGTTGTCTAGCTTTCTGTGACAATGTGTGACTGCATAGAGGGGAGGGGAGGGGGAGGAGGTAAAAATCTTTTTAAAAGCGTGACGTCATTTATGGATGACCCCTTGGGGAGCAACAAAAGAAATTATCCTCTAGGGCGTTTAATAAATAACATGGCCGGCATAAGATGAAGCGAGTTTGTAGTTTAATTTTACATGTCATCTATTATTTTTTTTTTGTCTCTTTTGGGAAACAAATCGATATTTTAATCTTGTAGAGAATTTTAATATTCTTTTCATTACATTTAATACAGATAATAACATCATTCTAGCTTTTTTTTTTTTTAAAATTCGGAAAGTTTTTTTTCTGTGCAGTGTTTAAAATGGGCGTCGAGTAAAGAAAAAGAAAGCAACTTGGGGCAACTTGTCAGTGTAGCTCACCTTGTCTTTTTTATGCAAATCGGCTTTAGCCTCCAACAGTCTGGTGACAGCCTCCATGTGACCTCCTTCTGCCGCAGAATGCAGGGGGGTTCTTTCATTCTGAGACAAAGTAGGGAGTTCTTTCATTGGTTGGTGGCAGGTGGGGGCTTATGGGTAAGGTAAGACAATTTAGGGAGTTCTTTCATTGGTTGGTGGCAGGTGGGGGCTTATGGGTAAGGTAAGACAATTTAGGGAGTTCTTTCATTGGTTGGTGGCAGGTGGGGGCTTATGGGTAAGGTAAGACAATTTAGGGAGTTCTTTCATTGGTTGGTGGCAGCTGGGGGCTTATGGGTAAGGTAAGACAATTTAGGGAGTTCTTTCATTGGTTGGTGACAGGTGGGGGCTTATGGGTAAGGTAAGACAATTTAGGGAGTTCTTTCATTGGTTGGTGACAGGTGGGGGCTTATGGGTAAGGTAAGACAATTTAGGGAGTTCTTTCATTGGTTGGTGACAGGTGGGGGCTTATGGGTACATAAGGGATCCGCTCTTAGTCATGCAGTAGACAAAAACCCGGTTTTTAATTTAGATGTTGGATTGTTCTTCATGCGATTTTCCGGAATTTAAAATATACGCCCAAAGTGTTTGTTTTGATTGACATTGAGGGTTTATATAAAAAAGAGACTCACTACAAGTATACATTTTAATATAACGAACGGCGACTCTTGTAGATTGCTTAGGATTTGTTTAGTTCCGTTTGGTAAAGTGTTGAACAACACATCTTTAAACAACCGTATTCCAAGACTTAATATCTTCTCGTTTGTGATTTGATGAGTATGTGTAGGTTTAGGAGTGTATGTGAGCTTTGGTGTATCTGTGTGTGTTTTGATGTGCGTGTATTTCGGTCTCTCTCTCTTTCTTTATCTCTCTGTGTTTAAAAAAAGCTTAGTTTTGGCGAACATGCGGTTTTCAGAAATTATAGATTTTTCAAAGAGTTGCTTGCCCACTAAAGAATAGAGGCTACAAATGTGTATGAGGAGCTAATGGAAAGAATAAACTCGTCAGGTATAACAGGCATACGTTCTACATGTTGTGTAACATATCGAGATTCGAAAACGAGTCTAATAAAGATATCGAAACTTTTTAATATTTTCTTTTTCTAAAGCCGACTTTTCAACAGCACTACAATAATTAGTTATATTTAAAAAGCATATATGACTAATCTATGGTTGAAAAGAAAACAGGCTATTTGTCTAAACATCATTCTAGCTAACATAATTAAAATATAGGACTAGCAAACTGAAACGTCGCTTAGCACTACAAAAAGAAACCACTATACGACCAAAAGATGAGTATAGTTATGCAATAGCATCAACACAAGAATCTGGAAAAGTACATTGAAGAAAGAAAAAAGTAGCAAACATACACAAACATACGCATTTTGTGACGTACCTTGTCTTTTTTGTTGACATCATGAGGGTCAAGAGCTTCAAATATGAAGGAAATGATGGACACGTGATTGTTCTCGGCAGCACAGTGCAACATGCCAAGACCTTGCTGTGGAGGGGTACAAGATGCTAGAACTTTACAGTAAAACTTGATTGTATTCGGTGCAAGATTACGGTACCGCAGTAGACAATTAATACGTTTATATATTTTACTTCATCGTCACGGTATGGTTGAACTCATACACGACAGGCAAGGACAAGGCAAAACGCGCTAAACCAAAAACATTTTCTGCCAATCCGCTAAAATGGCTTTATAATTTTTTCAAGTTATATGATGGAACTCTTGCTAGGTTGCGACCCCGAAAGTCTCGAGTTCGAACCCGGTCCAAGTCAGTAGAACGTCTCTGAGTCACCCAGCTTTGATGGGTACCTAGCTTATGTTAGGGTGAGTAAAGGTGGCTGGGCGTAGTAGTGACCACACCTTCCCTTCATATACCGAAATCAAGAAACATGAAATCTACTTCATCTGCCCAATGGATCGCTTTCTTTACCATTGAATAGCGATAGTTTATTTTTCAAAGACAAGTATTTAATACATTTTATCCAACTGACTTTAAAAATAGCAATTTACATAGAATTTTGAATCATTAGGAAAATTTAACAATGCTGTTTATTTCTTCTGTAAGCACGGTCATGATGATGTCGCTTGCTACAGAACATACAATCTTGCCAAAGGGTACTTGACTTTTATTCATCCCAGACACACTGTGAACACTTATTTTATTGGTTAGACAAGACTCAAACACTTTACCTTATTTGTTACCCGTGTGTTGGCCCCCGCATTGACCAGAGCCTTTAAGACAGGAATATGTCCGAACCACGCTGACCAGAGGACTGCTCTCATCCCATACTGCAGAGTGTAGTAAAACATTATCTTTTATACATCCTGCATCTGTACACATTCTATGATATACACCAAACTTCCTCCATTCACACAGTGCACAGTTGAAGTATTCCCCCCCCCCAAAAAAAAAGAAGTAATAGATACAAAGAAGCAACAACCCATCAACTACCTTGTCTTTGGCCTCGAGGTCCGCCCCACCCTCGATCAAAGCCTCCACAGCCTCCAGGTTTCCATTAGCTGCTGCCCAGTGGAGAGCTGTCCTGTCCAGCTGTGGGACATCGATCACATGCAGTTAGTGTAAATAATCGAATACCCCAGTCAATAATAGGACTGGTTACAATCACATAGTGTAAATAATCGAATATCCCAGTCAATAGGAGGACTGGTTACACTCACATACCCCAGTCAATAACAGGATTGGTTACAATCACATAGTGTAAATAATCGAATACCCCAGTCAATAATAGGACTGGTTACAATCACATAGTGTAAATAATCGAATACCCCAGTCAATAATAGGACTGGTTACAATCACATAGTGTAAATAATCGAATACCCCAGTCAATAATAGGACTGGGTACACTCACATATCCCAGTCAATAATAGGATTGGTTACAATCACATAGTGTAAATAATCGAATACCCCAGTCAATAATAGGACTGGTTACAATCACATATAACCAGGAACTACGTTTGTTTAATTCAGTGGAACTAGAAACAACGTCTGTCTAATTCAAGCATATGATTGGCTACAATCACATATAATCATAAACGTCTGTCTAATTGAAGCATATGATTGGCTACAATCACATATAATCAAAAACGTCTGTCTAATTGAAGCATATGATTGGATACAATCACATATAATCATAAACAACGTCTGTCTAATTGAAGCATATGATTGGGTACAATCACATATAACCATAAACAACGTCTGTCTAATTCAAGCATTTGAGTGGATACAATCAACGGTAACCAGAAACAAACGACTAAGTCTAATTCAAGAATAAGATGAGTACCCACACCAAAACTGAAAGTCTTGATATCTAGTAGAGTGGAATAGCGTCACACACTTAGAAAACAGTTTTTAGGTATCAAACCCTCTAACTGTAAAACACCCGTAAAGAATGTAGCTATTAGCTTATGTCGAGCCAGGAACGGTTCCTACTTACACTGTTCCTACAGTTGACGTTCACTTTCTCTTTCAGCAGTACCCGGATGGCGGCTCCGTCGTTAGTTCTGGCAGCGTCATGGAACTTCTCCTCCCGTCTAGACACTGCGGACACGGAGGTTTCAGATGTAATGGGTCTTTGTACAATTGTGCCAGAATTAATGGTTCTTTGTACAATTGTGCCAGGTGTAATGGGTCTTTGTACTATTGTGTCAGATGTAACGGGCCTTTGTACAATTGTTCCAGGTGTAATGGGTCTTTGTACAATTGTGCCAGATTTAATGGGTCTTTATAAAATTGTGTCATTAATACTTTTAAAAAAAAAATCACGAATGGCATTGACAATTTAACATGTATCCTACTTTGTTGCAGAATTTGATGTGTGTATGCGTCCACGTTTATGTGTCCTGGTGTGTCTGTGTATATGTAAATTCGTGTATGTCAATATTTCATACATATCTATAATAGGCTATATGAAAATGTAGGCTATATATATTCGATATACATAATCTATATGTAGGTTTTTTATATGTATGTATAAGGCTATATATACATGTAAATATTCACGTAATATAAATACATTTGTGCATGTACGTATATATAAGTATGATATATATAAGTATGTGTATGGACATCATGTCTAAAGTGTCAGACTCAGCTAACATGACAATTTAAAAATACTTTAAAGCTAGTATGTTTTGAATGTGTACTTTTAAGGACAAATATATAAAATCTCCGTAGAGATTTTTGAAATGTCTTCAATACAGTTTAAATTCATGTGGTCTTTAAAATTCTTATTATTTTCACATTTTAAAAAGGCAACAAAAAAACAGACCATGTTCCACCCATTTGACCTTACCCAGTAAAAACAGCATCAAAAGCTTTAAACAATGGATGAGAAACGAAATTTCTCGTCCATTGTTTTTATCTGTATGTTTGGTTTTAACTTGGGAACGGTTGGAACCATAATGATGTTTATTGCGTGTTTGTGTGTGTGTGTGTGTTTTATAAAGTTAGCTAGCGATGATTTTAAAATGATTTAAAAAGTCGACAAATTGTTAAATATTATTTCACCAAACAGCAAATATTTTGGTGACTACTCAATGCTTGACAGGAACAAATGTGAAGGTTCAAATGATTGTGTGAAAACAAAACACAATGATTGTGTGAGTGACAACAAAACGTGTTAATTGTTAAAAAACATGATGATGTATTTTGTGTGACAATGAAAGAAGCTATGGATTGTGTGACAACAAAAGACGATCTAGATTTTGTGACAACGAAAGACTATCTAGATTGTGTGACAACGAAAGACTATGATTTTGTGACAACGAAAGACTATCTAGATTGTGTGACAACGAAAGACGATGTAGATTGTGTGACAACAAAAGACGATGATTGTGTGACAACAAAAGACGATGATTGTGTGACAACGAAAGACGATCTAGATTGTGTGACAACAAAAGACGATGATTGTGTGACAACAAAAGACGATGATTGTGTGACAACGAAAGACGATCTAGATTGTATGACATAATGTGCGTACTCAAAAAGCCTGGATGTCGTCTAGCGTTTTGAATAAATAATGTCTGCACACTATCAGACCAAGATTTCTCTCTCTCTGTTGGAGTTATGTGGTGTTTGGGGAGGGGCGGGGCGGGCGGAAATATCAATAGCACTAGCCTGGGACCGTGTTCTTGACCTTTCTGAGCGTAGTAACATTGTTCCTCACTTTAAACTAATGTTCAGATCCTGAACGCCGGGTAATTGTCCAATTCCGTGACGTCTGGTAATTAAAGCTGTTCATATCTAGGTCATCCGTCATCATTTTTGTAAAGAAGACAAAAAATGTAACGGAAAAAAAATTCCCCTTGAGGTAAATGCCTGCTTCGATTATTTTATTGAAGAAAAATCCCCCTAAACAGTTGAAGAAATATTCTAGTTTGTGATACCGTGGGCAGGGGTGTAGGGAGGATTATTCGATAAAATTGTTGAAATCACACGGCTAGCCTTGAGTTTAAACAATAATAGTTTTACAAATATAAAAAGTATAAAAATATAAGCTGCTAGTCTGTGTGGGTGAGTGGATACCACTAGAGGACTAGAGGAGTAGTGAATTTAAAAAAAAAAAAAAATAAAAAAAAAAAAAAAAAATATATATATATATATATATATATATATATATATATATATATATATATATATATATATATATATATATATATATATATATATAGATATATATACATCATAAGCGTAGCGAGGGGGGGCGGTGGTGGTGGTGCAAATCGAAAGTTTGAGGGGGGAGGGTGCAAATCGAAAGTTTGAGGGGGAGGGGTGCAAATCGTAAATTTGAACGTTTGTCCCCGGGAAGGGTCACTACGCCTCTGGGGGGTGTCACCATTAAGTGCCGCACCGGATGACACCCGACCTCGCTACGCCACTGATGTACATATATATACATATATATATATATATATATATATATATATATATATATATATATATATATATATATATATATATATATATATATATATATATATATATATATATATATATATATATATATCAGTGTAAAGTTGTCTCTTTTTGCACAACTCATACATCTGTCCGTTACCTTTACCTAGTTTGATACACCTCACCTAACTGCGTGAAATACAGCAGGGAACTAGCCTTAAAATTGTGTGTACTCACTCTCAGCTGGGAGGAAGGAGGTCAGCTCGGACTCGACCTCTTTGCTGCGTCGCTTCATGTCTGTGTCTAAAGGCAGAGGAGTCTGAAAGAAAAAAGGCAGATAAACATAACACAATCTTGGAGCGTCTTAGATCCAGCTGTTGTAAGCAAGCGTGTAAGACACGTGAAACACTGGCCAGTGCTGTTCTACGTTGTAAAATCAAGTTAAACTTAACGAACTTTTAAAACAACAATTAACTTGCACATATTGAGTAGCACAGCTGGGTGTCAGGAACGGTAATCAACTTGTTCAACAAGTTTTTTAGCGTTATTTCCCTTTAGAAAATCAACGCAAAGGGCCCCATGAGTCCAATAAGATTTATATGTAGTGCTAATTAGAGAGATTTTTTTAAAGAGAGTAACGTTAGAGTTGCTAGACAGAATGGCTGCGTACGGAAACCAGACTGACTGTCGTGGCTGAAATTGCGATGTTGTTATATTTTGTAAGGCAAGGTCTTTTAACGGACGCGAATTACATAGGTTCTTACATGTAAAAGCAGAAAAAATATTGCTGTAATTAGAATACTTTCGTTAATTCGTCGAAAGCAGAAATAATTTAACTGAATTTTAGAAAATTGTGACAAGTTTTAATTCCGAGCAACTGTCCTCAAAATAAAAAAAAATATACCAACACCAAATAGAATCACACAACAAACAGCACTTGATACATCCAAATAGAATCACATGACACAACAAACAGAACGTGATACACCCAAATAAAATCACACATGACACGACACTCTCAACAAAATCCGCGAAGTGAGGACTACCGCTCGTATCTTAACAAGAGAATTGCTAACAAAATTCTTCACTATTTTTTAAGTGGTATTGAAACCTGAGGGGAAAAAAAGTAATGAAAAAGCCAAGTTCTGGCTAATGTTAACGCTGACAGGAACAGAATAGAAAATGGGATGCTATCTACTTCTAGTATTGCATATATTTGATTTCTCGATGCAGAATAGGACTACACGACTTTCTTCTGTACTAGTCCTAGCAGTAAGATGAGAAGTATAGAAAAACTTTCTATAACGTGAAATACAAGCCAACAAAAATAAAGATGTAAATTTCTTTAAGCGATTCTTCTAGCATCATTGAACGATTTAAAGGTATTGGTAGTCCTTTATCGAGGTCTACGGTACTCTGTGATGATAAACTAATCTAGCGTAGGGCATCGGATTAATCTTGCAATTTTTTAAGTCAGTCCACACTAACACGATGGTACATGTATCATTAGCCTTATGCCGTCCTATTCTTCTCTCTCAACATAAAACGTGACATTGTGATTAGAGGTCAAAGCTAGGTTCAAGGACATTACGCTTGTCTATAATATAAACCTCGGTCTTTCTACCCCACCCTGCCAGAACCCCCCCCCCCCCCCGATCAATTATACACCTGTCGGTTTCCCCATGGTAATTACACTCGTCTGTCTATCTACTCAAGAATGTATTTTTTATACAACAAAATCGAAGAAAAAATGATGAATAAAATGTGTCGTACAGGCTACAAAATTCAACAAAACTGATCCAGCTATATAAGGAACGTGTAATGCTAGAAACAAAATTCGATGTTACAAAGATCACTTTGATAAAATGTCATTGACACTGGCATACACGACAGTCAAACAAGAGACTGGTGTTTAACAGACAAAACCAACCGGACGTCAAACTCTGCAGAAAATCAACAACGATTTAAAAAATGGACCTGATATTGATAAGTCTTACAGGTCAGCCGACAATACTGGAGGGATATGTTGTTGTAATAATTGTGTGTGTATGTGGAGGAGAGGTTGTTGTAATAATTGTGTGTGTATGTGGAGGAGAGGTTGTTGTAATAATTGTGTGTGTATGTGGGGGAGAGGTTGTTGTAATAATTGTGTGTGTATGTGGGGGAGAGGTTGTTGTAATAATTGTGTGTGTATGTGGGGGAGAGGTTGTTGTAATAATTGTGTGTGTATGTGGGGGAGAGGTTGTTGTAATAATTGTGTGTGTATGTGGGGGAGAGGTTGTTGTAATAATTGTGTGTGTATGTGGGGGAGAGGTTGTTGTAATAATTGTGTGTGTATGTGGGGGAGAGGTTGTTGTAATAATTGTGTGTGTATGTGGGGGAGAGGTTGTTGTAATAATTGTGTGTGTATGTGGGGGAGAAGTTGTTGTAATAATTGTGTGTGTATGTGGGGGAGAGGTTGTTGTAATAATTGTGTGTGTATGTGGGGGAGAGGTTGTTGTAATAATTGTGTGTGTATGTGGGGGAGAGGTTGTTGTAATAATTGTGTGTGTATGTGGGGGAGAGGTTGTTGTAATAATTGTGTGTGTATGTGGGGGAGAGGTTGTTGTAATAATTGTGTGTGTATGTGGGGGAGAGGTTGTTGTAATAATTGTGTGTGTATGTGGGGGAGAGGTTGTTGTAATAATTGTGTGTGTATGTGGGGGAGAGGTTGTTGTAATAATTGTGTGTGTATGTGGGGGAGAGGTTGTTGTAATAATTGTGTGTGTATGTGGGGGAGAGGTTGTTGTAATAATTGTGTGTGTATGTGGGGGAGAGGTTGTTGTAATAATTGTGTGTGTATGTGGGGGAGAGGTTGTTGTAATAATTGTGTGTGTATGTGGGGGAGAGGTTGTTGTAATAATTGTGTGTGTATGTGGGGGAGAGGTTGTTGTAATAATTGTGTGTGTATGTGGGGGAGAGGTTGTTGTAATAATTGTGTGTGTATGTGGGGGAGAGGTTGTTGTAATAATTGTGTGTGTATGTGGGGGAGAGGTTGTTGTAATAATTGTGTGTGTATGTGGGGGAGAGGTTGTTGTAATAATTGTGTGTGTATGTGGGGGAGAGGTTGTTGTAATAATTGTGTGTGTATGTGGGGGAGAGGTTGTTGTAATAATTGTGTGTATGTGGGGGAGAGGTTGTTGTAATAATTGTGTGTGTATGTGGGGGAGAGGTTGTTGTAATAATTGTGTGTGTATGTGGGGGAGAGGTTGTTGTAATAATTGTGTGTGTATGTGGGGGAGAGGTTGTTGTAATAATTGTGTGTGTATGTGGGGGAGAGGTTGTTGTAATAATTGTGTGTGTATGTGGGGGAGAGGTTGTTGTAATAATTGTGTGTGTATGTGGGGGAGAGGTTGTTGTAATAATTGTGTGTGTATGTGGGGGAGAGGTTGTTGTAATAATTGTGTGTGTATGTGGGGGAGAGGTTGTTGTAATAATTGTGTGTGTATGTGGGGGAGAGGTTGTTGTAATAATTGTGTGTGTATGTGGGGGAGAGGTTGTTGTAATAATTGTGTGTGTATGTGGGGGAGAGGTTGTTGTAATAATTGTGTGTGTATGTGGGGGAGAGGTTGTTGTAATAATTGTGTGTGTATGTGGAGGAGAGGTTGTTGTAATAATTGTGTGTGTATGTGGAGGAGAGGTTGTTGTAATAATTGTGTGTGCGTGAAGGATTAGTGACTGGGGTAATGCCCTGCTAGTTTTTGGGGGGAGGGGGTGGATGACCGGTGTGTAATTGAGAAGGGGGTAATATATCGATGAGTTTAAGCCTGTTAGTTGTAATTAAGCATAGTGTTATTTAATTACATGAATAAAACAAGCTACACTACATTAAAATATCAGACACAACAACATTTTAAAATCTTTTATGTTTTTTTCTTGAACGTAGTAAAAATATGCGATACATTCGTTAAAAATTAGTATTACAAAGGTAAGCTACATATCGTAACACTCCTATTGATTATAAACGCTGAGTTACTTCAAATTCCACGATAAACCGCCTTTAAATATTGTTCTTCTATTGATTTAAAAATAAATATTTGAGTAACTCGGCCTGGTCGTTTCCACAAACAATTGACCCCGTCAATCAACGAATGCCAGGTATTTATTGGGTCAGGTAGGGTGGTGGGGGAGGGTGGGGGTGGGTTGGGTCGCTGAATTCTTTCGTCGCATGATGGATGCTGCTGATACATTAAGGCAGAGAGGGGGTAGAATGGTTAATGTTTATAGTTGGTGACATAAACGTGTTTACAGTTGGTGACAAACGTGTTTACAGTTGGTGACATAAACGTGTTTACAGTTGGTGACATAAACGTGTTTACAGTTGGTGACATAAACGTGTTTACAGTTTGTGACATAAACGTGTTTACAGTTGGTGACATAAACGTGTTTATAGTTGGTGACATAAACGTGTATACAGTTTGTGACATAAACGTGTTTAAAGTTGGGGACATAAACATGTTTACAGTTTGTGACATAAACGTGTTTACAGTTTGTGACATAAACGTGTTTACAGTTTGTGACATAAACGTGTTTACAGTTGGTGACATAAACGTGTTTATAGTTGGTGACATAAACGTGTTTATAGTTGGTAACAACCACCTGTTTAGATTTGCCAACAACAAAATGATAACATTTGGTTACAACAAAGTGTTAACACACGTATCTAACTGTGATAGTTAAGTAGTGTGTGCGTGAGTGTGTATTGAGAGTGTTCGTGTATGTGTGGGGTGAACAAATGTGTTTTTGTTGTCTGATTATATACATACATTATATATATATATATATATATATATATATATATATATATATATATATATATATATATATATATATATATATATATATATATATATATATATATGTACGTGTGTATATTGAGTGTGTGTGTGTGTGTGTGTGTGTGTGTGTGTAAAGGCGTATACAAGTGCGTATCGTGATCTTTCATTGTTTGATCCACACTGCGAAATGTCAAAGCGCGCGCATTTGTTATTAATAAAAAAAAATTATAGGTCACCCTAACAGGAAAAAAAGGTCAACGGCAATACCCGGAAAATCCCAACAAGGAAAGATGTATGTCAGATTGGCTTCATTCACACCAAATAGTTCACTGTGTCGTAGTCAACACTGTTCCCATTTCATAATGTTTGTTATATTATCTAACTACTCGTTACATCATGTTGTTACGTCCCCTGGGTATATACGCACTTATTTTAACCTGGCTAGGTTGTTGTTCTCCAGTTAGTAATAATGCAAGCTTTTAAAATAATAAAATAACCGAAA